TGTATACCAAACACCTCAAAATGCTCGGAAGTCAGCCACCAGCAAGCTTTAATAAATTGCATGAAATTACCTATGCTCAAGTAGTGTTAGAGTTGAACCATTCATCATTATAACTATAAGCAACTTGATCACCTATCCCTCTCCATAAGTATAACATTTAAAAGATTATACACACACACATATAGCTAATTTTATGTCTCTTGCTAAGGCGTAAACTTTTTAGTATTTAAAAAACACACCTATATATATGTTCTAATTGACTTATGCTTGGTTGATGCATTTAAAATTATAATTCAAAATTATTTTTATTTTATATATTTTTGTATAAAATAAAATTATTATAAAAAATCATGAATCATAATTTAAAATAAAAAATGAATATAAAAAATAAATATCCACTGAGTACTTCGAAAAGGTGATGTATTTTGAAGTGAAGATCTGATCATGTGTGTTATAAAAGAGCGTTTTTCGGTATTAATTATTATGGATCTGTTCATTTCACTTATTTAAGTTTCTATAGTAAAAAGTTCTCACAAATAATCATATCTAATTTTCTTATTACAATAAAAAGTTCTCATATAAAATTACATCTCAACTCAAATTAAAAACTTGAATCAACGAACTAAACGGGCCCTACAATAATGCCAATGGTGTGCTGCTGCCCTTCGGAGTCATCATTTGTGGACTGGTCACTGGTCCATGGCTCCATGCTGTACAAAAAAAAATTATACTTTTTTTTTTAAGGGTAAATGCTCTACAAAAGGATTTACCTTTTAAGCTTCCTTCTCACATACAATTGAAAAAATTTTGAGGACCCCACATAAATCAGGACCCATGATATATACTGTCCACGCAAGCAAGTAGTATCTCACAATATGAGATGCGACTTTAAGGTCCGTTTAGTTCGCTTATTTAAGTTAAGATGTAATTTTATATGATAATTTTTTATTATAATAAAAAAATTAAATATGATTATTTTTTAGAGTCTTTTACTGTAAAAAAACTTAAATCGGTGAAATAAATAGGGTCTTAGAGTATGTTTAGTTCACAACTCAAGTTAAGAACTTAAGTTATGCATGTACGAAAAAAATATTGTAACAAAAAAATTAAATTTAATTTTTTATGAAATAAAATACTGTAACAGTAAACTTGAGTTGTGACTTAGTTGTGAAAATAATAAATAATAAAGTCAATAGTTTTTTTTTCTTTTGTTTGGGATGATTGGTGTCACCCCTTTTTCTTTTTGTCACTTTGAAAGTTTGGGAGCCAACCAAATATAATGGAAAGAACGTGAACCAAATATATTCGAAATTGATATTGCTTTCACTCACGTCAGCACACTCTCGACACATTAATAAGAAAATATATCCTTTTTATGGTAGGAACCCATTGGTTTAACAAATCAATAAGAAAATACATCCATTAGTTTAATAAATTTATTTCATGAATTATGATACTCTTCACTCTTTCTTTTTGGCTAGTAACATGCCCATAACTCTCCTAACAATATGGTATTCATTAAGGCCGGCAATATGGGTCACGACACGACTCGAAAACGATACGAATTTTACGGATTAGGGTTGAGAAAAAAGAAGTTCGAGTCAGAATCGGGTCGACCTGAAATTGACACGAAAAACACAAGTCAATTTCGGGTTGGAGCCGCCTAACCCGAACACGCCACGAAACTCGTAAAAAACTAAAAAATACATATATTTTCATTTCATATTTTAAATTTTATTATGAACTTGTGATATCATGATAGTTGTACTCAAAATCTTATACTATTATTTGCTTAATTTCAATGGATGTTATTGTAATTTAGTGTGTTATGAATTTTAAGTTATTTCTAATATGTAAAAAACTAAATAAAAGTATACAATTTTCGTGTCAATTTCGGATTCACGGGTCAATTTCGTGTCACGGGTCATTTTCAAGTCGTGTCGTGTCAACTTGTAAAGTGATCGTGTCGTGTTTGTGTTGCGGTTTTTAAAAAATTTCGTGTCACGGGTCGTGTTCAGATTGACTGCAAATTTAAAAAAAAATGATTAAAATACGACACGAACACGACACGTGACACGAATTGTCACCCCTACTATTCATGACCTAGACAACAAGCTAATTTATCTTGGTCCTTTTCTAACAAAAAAAAAAGAAAAAAAAAAGAAAAAGAAAAATTTATCTTAGAAAAAAAATAAAATAACACATTTTATGACCTATTTAGTATTAACCTATATGGGGGACGCACCCTAATTTATCTAAATAGGTGGTGAATCATAATCCTCATTCCACCAAGCAGAATTAATAAATATTTTAAATCAAACGGTCAAGATCACTCAGTAGTAGCCGTTAAACAACTGGCCTAAGAAAAATACTTTTTTAAAACCCTTTTGCCTCCCCTAACTTGCCTAAGTAAAGATGATTAAATTATTTAAATAATTAAGAATTAGATCTAAACCAAATGGCAAGGCTTAAAAATATAGGTCCCGTTTCATTTCACCAATTCGAGTTTAAAATTTGAGTTTTATTACAGTAAAAAACTTCCAGAAACAGTTACATCTAACCTTTTTGTTACAGTAAAAGGCTCTCATATAAAATCACATTTTAACTCGAATTAACGAACTAAACGAGATAAGTTCCCGTTGGGCTCACAAACCAATCAGCCAGAGCGACCCTCCAACCATGGGCACACCCATGTGAGCATATTTCGTCGCTTTGCAAGATTATAGTATACATAGGATTTTATCATATACATATATATAGTCTATATATTATACATATAGTTGAATATATATATATATATATTATAGGTTAGAATGCATGAAGATTTGTCCATGTTATTTGTCCATGGTTGCTAAGTGGAGGCCGTAGCAGCCCGCCACGTGTTGGCTTCCTCGGATGCCTTTCAATGTGGGACTAATTTATGCAATAAGAGACGAGTAGATCTCTCAGGCTGTCCCAAGAAGGCCACAAAACACAAACTGTTTGATAGGGCCTAATTCTTTGATCATGTTCTTATCTTATTTATGACTATTTGATGAAAGCACAATTTCAGGGGGGTCTTAATTAAATCTGACACATATTTTTTTAGTTCTCAGATAATTCTGATGATGTTCATCAAACAATTAAGAATTATTATTTGTCTGAAGCTTCTTTTATAAATATATTCTCCGTTCTTTTCGCTGATTCGAGTTTAGAATTCGAGTTTTGCTACAATAAAAAGCTCTCAAAAACAGTCACATCTAACTTTTTTGCTACAGTAAAAAGCTCTCACATAACATCACATCTCAACTCGAATTAAAAACTTGAATTAGCGAACCGGGAAAATTCCTCTAATTTCCAAAAAAAACCTAATCACTGTAAATATTATAGGGTTTGATTTTGATCCTTTATTAAATACCAGTCTTATATTATAATTTAAAAAGATGTAATGTGATATTTATTTATTTTTAAAATATATATAATATTTATTTTATGTAACAATAATTCTGAAGATATAAATGAACTTAGCAGTAAATTGTCTGTAGTTATACCTCCTAAAATTCGGCTCTAGTATAATGTGATAAAAGAATGCATGATCATATTAATAACGTAGAGATGTCCCCATCTGTTTAATTAACATTTTTCTACTTAATACTCATTTGTTCGAAATTTACTTGGCCAGTTTTACGTGGGCTAACTTAAATTTGAAGAGATTAGGAAATTTTCTCTCTTAACTTTAATACCGTGCCATTTTTCGTAAAATTCTACAGTTTTTAAGGGTCCGTTTAGTTCGTTGATTTGAGTTGAGATATGACTTTATATGAGAGCTTTTTATTGTAGTAAAAAAGTTAGATGTGACTGTTTCTGAAAACTTTTTACCGTAACAAAACTCAAATTCTAAACTCGAATCGGTGAAATAAACGGGGCCCGTACCAACTAACATTTATGCTATTGAAGTGGCATAGTAAAAATATATCTTTATTAAATCAATAAAAAATGATCTTAAGTTGTATAATTGTATATTTTAAGCTAAAGACAGTAAAAAAAAAATAAAAAAGACGGTAGTACACGTAATTTTCTCTAGAAAATAAAGTGGGCAAAAGGAAAAAAAACAAAAATGGAAGTGTTTAATCAACGAACACCAAATCTTTATGTCCCTCTAGTGAGAGAGCATTTTTCCTTAAATATCATGTTGTGGGGCCCTACACTAAAATTTATGAAAAGCAATGGCATAGTTGGCGTTTAATCATTTATGTTTAGGTTCCTTCACATCATAAATATGTTATAAACTAGTGAGTTTGGAAACGGAAGCTTTAAAAGGCTCCTAAATTATTCTCATCTTACTTTATTTATAAAAAAAAAAAAAAAAAACTTTTTGTACCATCTCTTTCATAATTTGCATGGTGATGGTACTCAAAAAGATAACCAAAAAAAAAAAAAGAAGAAAAGATAAAAAGGGAAAAAGAATATTAAAAAAGGCATTTATTTCAATTTCATAGCCAATGCCAAGACATGACTTATAGATTAATAATTTGAGATTTCTCAGAAACAGCCAGAAACTTTGTGAGGATAATGATAGCTTTCAATTCTCATTCTGTTTGCATATTTCTCTTGGGCCCTTCGGTGAAAAAAAAAAAAATAATGAAATAATGAATGGAAGGAACCAAATACGACGTCGTTTTCCTCCACCGTGATTCAAAGCGCAACGTCTCTTAAACTTTTGCCCATTTTGCGCAGAGAGCGTCAGTGGTACGACGTCGTTTTGAATCTCATTTAGAACATTTACGAAAATCCCAAAATAAAAGAAAACTAAAGGATAAAAAATACGAATTCGTATGTGTATTTATACGTATATCTGAGTGTATTCTTTTGTGTGTGATCATTTTCTTTGTCAAAATCCCTGGAAACAAACACTTCTCTTTCTTCAGCTTTGAGCTCTCTGAACTGTCTCTCTCCTCTCTCTCTCTCTCACACACACACACACACAGACACAACACTCCACACTCTTCTTTCTCCTCCTCTTTCTCTCTCTCTCTCTCTCTCTCTCTTTCTCTCTTTATTTCTAGCTCCGTTTCTCTGTAAATGGCTGAATCTCGCCGGAAACGATGAAGATATCAGGCAAGCCTCACCTCGCACCGGCATTCCCTTCAACGCTCTCATCCAAAGCCGCTCTAAACGCTAAGTGCGATTCGGATCTTCAGAGCCGGCTCGGCGCTCGGAAACCGGCCCGGAGAAAGTCCCGGACGCCGAGATTGGGCCGGGTCCGGCGAGCAGGAGCTCCGAACGGGAGGCGGAGCAGGCCGGAGACGCCTCTTCTGAAGTGGAAGGTCGAGGACGGAGAGGAGAGAGGGAGGGACGGGAATGAGGTCGCCGAGGAGGACGAGAAGGCCGAGGAGAGTGGTCGGAGAGCTGGCCGGAGTGGAAGGAAGGGAAGGGAAGTGGCGGTGTCGGCGCGGAAGCTCGCCGCCGGGCTCTGGCGACTGCAGATGCCGGAGGCAACGGCCTCCGCTGCCAAAAGGAGTGGTCAGCTAGGGTTTGAGGTGAGTTTTGGACTGTGAATCGCCGATTAGATATTTGTGAATGATTGATTGGGAGTTCTGGCGTTCCAAAAGATCTGAAATTTTCTGATAGTTTTGATTAAATGTATGATCTTGAAGCATTTTGGTTCTATTTAAAACAGTTAAAGTTTGACTTTTTTTTTTTGTTTGTTTTTTTGTTTGTTTAGTTCAATTTCTGGTTGGTTCATATTTCATAAGAATAGTTGTAATTTGTGAATGATCTTAAAGATTCTATCCTTTTGTGAGTGATCTTCAAGGTATTTTTGTTCACTTCTTTTAAGTCTTCTCTTGGATAGTATTAATCAGCATTGTTCTTAGATCAAGCTTTTATAGAATGTACTTGATGGCCTGGTAGAATTAAATTTTCTTAAAAGGTTTCTCATTTTTGCTTCATTTTACCGAAAGAAAGTTGTTTATTTTTAAGGCTCCTTATGGTTGGTTGATTTGTTCCTCTGGGAAAAATTTCCACTAGGGTTGTTGTTTGATTGATTTGTACTTATTTGTGATTACTGATTATTTTTTAATGCTTACTCTTTCTCTTTGTCTCTCTCATTGTGGATTTCTATTTTGCCATTTTTGGCAAATTCTGAAAGTTAAATGACTCTGTTCATTGATGTTTGAGAAATTTTTATCTTAATACGATCAATAACGTTGTTTTCAGTGAATCTAAATTTATGATATTATACATGTCTATGGTATTAAGGACGCTTACGCGTTGCATTGATGACTTTCCGAAAATTTCGGTTTGCCATTTCATAGGTGTCACTTTAAGCAGTTTGCATTGTTGTTATTGTTTATATTCTGGAGATGTCGCAGTTGATTGATCATTTCTTTCCTACAGCATGGGGTTGGCTCTGTTGGGTTGCCATTTCTGCAGACTCGCTGTAGCAAGGTGTATGGTTCCGAAGTGAAGGAATATCTACAAAGCCCTAGTTCCAGTTCAAGGAATGGATACTTGTGCAAGGTACATTTCTAGTTTTATTTATTGATTGAAGCATGAAATGAAAATGGAAAATCCTTATATTCGTCTATGTGCAATGGCTTTGCATTGCAGGGCTGGCATATTATTACCTTCTTTCTAATAGTTCATTGTTGGAGGATTTATGATTTTAATGACCTTAATCATTCCCGTTACCTTCTTCTTTCTAATAGTTCATTATTGGAGGATTTATGATTTTAATGTCTTAATCATTCCCGTTAACAAATGTGTTTGATCTATTTTGAGTTTGCATTATGAAAGTCTACAAAACCTTTCTTATTGGAAGGTTGTGATTTTATGCTTAAGAGATATAGCTTGCTAGCATGCTTTATATGTTAAATGTAGAAGATGGAATTATTTCCTTTTGTGTGAAGATGAATTAGGAAAAAAGCAGACTGAACTTTCCTGGTACAGATTCTAACAGATTTTTTTTCCCTCTTTCCTTTTTTCTTTAGCTTCAACCTTCTTTTCAGTTTACAAACTCTGCCATGGAAGGGGCAACAAAGTGGGATCCTGTATGCTTAAAAACTTCAGACGAGGCACGCCAGATATACCGCCAAATGAAGTTGCTTGACCAACAAGTAAATGCTGTATCTGTGGTGTCTGCGCTTGAGGCTGAACTAGAGCAGGCTCATTCTCGCATTCAGGAGCTTGAAACTGAAAGGCGGTCCTCCAAAAAGAAACTCGAGCACTTCTTAAGGAAAGTAAGCGAGGAAAGGGCCACATGGCGGAGCAGGGAGCATGAGAAGATTCGTGCATTTATTGATGACCTGAAGGCAGAGGTGAATCGAGAAAGGAAAAATCGCCAAAGAATTGAAATCCTAAACTCCAAACTGGTTAATGAGCTTGCTGATGCCAAGTTATCAGCAAAGAGATTTATGCAGGATTATGAAAAAGAAAGAAAGACCAGAGAATTGATTGAGGAAGTATGTGATGAGCTTGCCAAAGAAATCGGAGAAGACAAGGCTGAAGTTGAAGCATTGAAGAGAGAATCCCTGAAACTCAGAGAGGAAGTTGACGAAGAAAGGAAGATGCTACAGATGGCTGAGGTCTGGCGCGAAGAACGTGTTCAAATGAAGCTGGTTGATGCAAAGGTGGCACTTGAACAGAAATATTCTCATATGAACAAGCTTGTAGCAGATTTAGAGAAATTTCTGACATCAAGAACTGCAACTCCAGATGCGAAGGACATGAGAGAAGCAGAGTTACTTCGACAAGCTGCTGCTTCTGTAAATATCCAAGACATCAAGGAATTTTCTTACGAGCCTCCCAATTCTGATGATATCTTTTCTGTTTTCGAAGAAGTTAATTTCGGTGAACAAAATGAGAGGGAGATTGAACCATGTGTTGCTTACAGTCCTGTTAGCCATGCCTCGAGAATTCATACAGTCAGTCCCGAAGTGAATGGGATAAGCAAGAACTGTATCAAGGGACATGTCAATGTGTTTGCTGATCATAATGGTGATATAGAAGAGGATGAGAGTGGATGGGAGACCGTAAGTCATATAGAGGACCAGGGCTCAAGCTATTCACCAGAAGGGAGCGCCCCATCTGTCAACAAAAATCGCCGAGAGAGTAACATCTCAGGGAGTGGAACGGAATGGGAAGACAATGTGGATGAGGAAACACCAATTGCTGAGATCAGCGAAGTCTGTCTAGTACCAACCAAACAGTTTAAGAAGGGATCATCGATAACAAGGCTTTGGAGATCCTGCTCGAACAATGGAGAAAACTACAAGATAATCTCAGTAGAGGGAATCAATGGCCGACTTTCAAATGGAAGGATATCTAATGCAGGTACCATGTCGCCAGATAGAGGTTCAGGCCAAGGTGGTTTCAGCCCCTCAGATTTGCCGGCTCAATGGAGTTCTCCCGACTCAGGGAATGGTCACATCCGAGGAATGAAGGGATGCATACCTCGAACTGGCCAGAAGCATAGTTTGAAGGCGAAGCTTCTAGAGGCAAGGATGGAGAGTCAGAAGGTCCAACTGCGCCACGTGCTTAAACAAAAGTACTAGTCAGTCAGAGTTTTCCCAACAGAGTTGCAAACAACGGATGAGAATGAATAGTTTCATCTCTGACCGGGGGAATGTCTATACTAAAGGAAAACTGCAAAAAAGTGATAGGCAGGAGTCAGAACGAAATGCGCACATTTGGCCTCCTAGACTTGCTCATTCCGCTTCTCCAGTTTACTTATGCGCTGACATATTCCATTTCCTTGCTTCCCCCAAGATCTCAACATCTGAGCAGGTGCATCAAAAAAAACGACGGGGTTGTCTTCTTCCATTCGTATCCGAGCGGCCTTCTTGTTTGCGGCCACAACAATTAGCAAGCAAGCTATTTTTTTTTTTGTTTCTCGGAAAAGCGTCATTATTTGTACTGTATCATTAATTTGCCGAGTCTCCAGGACACTGGCGAGGAATGCAAATTCTTGCAAAAGACTAAAATGATAACACTCTCCTATCTGTAATTTGTATTATTGTTATCAGATATTATTGCAGTTTCTTAGAGAAAATGGAAGAGGAAGAATGATCTACTTTAATTACTGTTCTACTTTAATTGTTCGAGTCCAATGATATAGCAAAAGCATAGGATTTCTCTCTTGTCTACGCTCCTTGGGAACCAGTGGAGAAAATATGTAGGAAACAACTTATGGGCCATCTTTTCATCGTTACAAATAGGACATTCTTTGGTCGGTATTGAAAAAACGGAACTATTGAAAAGATTTTGTTTTCATCCGTTAAATCTGTATTAAAAATTATTTATTTTACATACATGTTTTAATCTAATGTAATTTTGATTAAATCTAACGGATACTGATAGGAAGGCTAGGAAGGCCCTTGCAAAAAAAAGATCCATTAAAAAAAAAAAACTATGTAGTTTACCCCTTTGGAATATCTACATGAATAGGCAATTCACCGATCCCTTAGGGCCTGTTTGGTTCATAAATTCATAATTATGATTCATGATTCTTATTTTTAAAATTTAAATTTTTTATGAGAAAAAAACACTATAAAAAATCATGAACCATGATTTAAAATCATGGACGGATATATGAAACAAACATCCCTTATTGTTCAATAGGTTAAAACTTGGTACATGCACCCCCGATTCCCGAACTCTTTAACATGCTTTCAATTAGAAGACATCCATCCATTAACTTCCAAAAATGAAAAAGAGAAGAAATAGAAAAGCTTGATTTTTTTTTTTTTTTTGGAATAAAGCAGCCATGAATGGCAGAGAAGAGAAGAAAATACAGCGAGCCTCGGAGTCTTCTCTACGTCGACGGAAATCAAGGTGCACTTTTATTGCTTCATCATCGTAAACTTTCTTAGCTAGAGTGGTCTTGCCAATTCCTCCTCGGCCTACTAATGAAATCAGGTGATATAACCAACCTTTCGTAAGTTTCTCCGACAAGAAATCAATACCCACAAGTTCATCTTCCTCCGAGAAAATAGATGCCGCTCTAGGATCATGTCTAGGGAGTTGATACTTGTTCACACTATAGTCCGTTCATTTTACCGATTTAAATTTAAAATTTGAGTTTTACTACAGTAAAAAGCTTTTAGAAACAGTCACATAATTTTTTTACTACAGTAAAAAACTCACATAAAATTACATCTCAACTTAAATTAAAAACTCAAATCAGCGAACTAAACGGGTCCTATATTGTTTTTTTTTTTTTTTGAATTTGGAGAGAGAATTTGAACACATCATCTCATTATTACAACATTTTTCTTGATTATAAGCTAAAAAAAAGCCAGACGAATTTACTTAATAAATATGATATTTATGAAACCTAATAAGATTTTAGTCAATAAACATGAGATTGATAAAAAAAAAATACTCATTTTTCAACTCAAAAAACTCCATTGTTAATCACCTCTCTAGAAATTTAAAGAGCATACATTTACAAAAAAAGAGTACTAGTACCCCAGAAAGTATAATCACTCTTTTAAAAATGGCTTAAATTACTTTCTGAATGAGAAGTTAAAAATATGATGTCATAGTTCAAAGATATGCAAGTAATTGTCTTCTTGGTTCATAGATTTTTAATTGCTCTGCTCTCTAGCGACCATAACTTCTACTAAAGTCTTTATCTAGGCATGGAATTTGTAGAAAGAAGAGAGAAGCTTAGAACTAATGGATCCAGCGTTGGCTGAAACATGCTCAACAAATGAATTTATAAGGTGTGTCCAAGTTGCTCTCGACCGCTCGTGCGCAGATAGACGAACGATGTCAGAAGTCAAGTCTATGCTTGGCAGTGATATGGGAATTCTTCCAGATCTTAAACAATGACGACTTTCTAGAATACCAGATCTCGCTTCGTCAATGATGTTTCAAATTCGAGCGCGCATGCTTAGTAGCATTTCAAGTCATAAATAAGAAAGGACAAATAAGAAGATTAAGAATTCAAGTTTTGTTATAAGAAAAAGCTCTAAAAAAGTCACATTTAACTTTTTTATTACAGTAAAAAACTCTCATATAAAGTTACATCTTAACTCGAATTAGCGAACTAAACGGGTAAGCATATCACTTGATGTTATAGTTACCCTGCTGCATTCGTTATAGAAATGGTGTTTAAAAATCATTCAATTCCAGGACTATGCAATATGCACGCATGACGCGTCTTGCCGCTACCAAAATACTGTAAAAAAATGTATTCGGAAAATCATGCCAGATTTGAATTCAACTTATTTGATTGTTTGTACTTACTGATCGTGACCGTTTAAACCTTATCATTTGCAAACCGAAAATATTCAAATGTAGTGAAAAGTTCACAGAAATGAAATCATATTTTTGAAACAGTTAAAAGATGTATTAGCTGCTCTGCACTTATTAAGTAATAACATGCACAAATATGAAAAACCTATACGTAGTACATGTGAAACCAATTCACTCACAATGGAAACGAAAATTATGAATCTAAAATAATGCGTCTTGGAACTCAATCATAGCCCTTCCCCAGACAATTAAGACAGCGTTGCACTCTGCAATTCCATGTGAACCCAGAAAAAGAGAAGAAAAAAAAAAGAACATGTGAGCATCACAAGAAAAATAAGAAACTAACATTTCAAGAAAGGAAAGAACAAAGTTACATTTTGAAAAAGTATAAGCGTTGTACTCTTCAAAGGGTGGCTAAGTTCGTTTCGCCAAATCACAATTCAAATTTTTTACTACACTATCTTTTTTTATAAAAATTTAAATTTTATTTTTTCTATTACAGTAATTTTTTCACATAAATTTATTTTTCTATTAAAATTTTTAACTCAAACGAGCAAAAGAACAACCGTTATTGGGGTTATAAACTTTAACACTACAAGCTTTAATGAGATTCATATTTATTCCCCTTTTAAGAGATAAAGAAAACAAAAAAAAAACAAATGAAAACAATTTAACTGACCTGTTACCGTCACAAGTAGGACACAAACAAGGGTTAATGGCAACAGGGTCAAACAAAGGCGACCATTGAATTATCGAATTTCCTTTGCAAAGTTTGCATATGTAAAAGCCTTTCCCTCTACAAACCCGGCAAGGAACAGCTACGCCTCTCTGCACAAAAACCCAGAAAAGAAATCGATTAAAACGGCATAAAGAAGGAGAAAAACTTGAAGAGTCAGTGAAAATTTTTGCATTTTTTCACTTACGCGTTTGGATTCGGTGGCGAACCGAAGAGCTCCGATGGTGGCGGAGGAAATGATGTTGAGAGTGAAGACTCCGCCGAGGATTAAGGAAGCCCCTGTGAGCAGCACCCGCGCTGGCTTCGGAATCATCTCTTTTGGGCGTTTCAAGAGTCGAGTTTCTCAGAGGAAATTTCACAAACACTTGGTGATCATGTGGGATGTATGCTTAATGTTTTTCCTAAATTACAGACATATCCTCTCTTCTGTTTCAAATTTCAATTTCATGTCAATAACTGGAGGATCCACGAGAAAGGAATGCAGAATCTGGGAAATCTTGCTTTCTTTGTTGCGTTGCAGTATTTTCCACTCTGGGAAATCTCGCTTTCTTTGTTGCGTTGCAGTATTTTCCACGATAAGGTGGATGGTGGTTAAGACTAGAGAGAGAGAGAGAGAGAGAGAGAGAGAGGAGAGAGAAGCTTTTTAGCTAAATGCCTGGCACTGGCATATCTATGATTCTGTGCGTGTTTTTTTTTTTTTTTTTTTTTTTTTTGCTAAAATGTTATTCTGTGTTTTGATGTCCAAGTTAAAAGCGGGCGCTGAATGTGTTCTTGGGTAGTGATCAGGTGCGGTTGAATCTTGGGAGATTTATAGTGGGGTTGAGGGAGACGGGAGTAATGATTGGCTTTAGACAAATTTTGATCATGATAAGCATTTTCTCTAGGTCCACTATATTTTGATCAAGCGTTCGAAACTCCATAGCCACAAGTTGTATCTAGCGTCCTTACTTAGTGTGGAATAGTGGATGTTTAGTTTATAAATTTAGAATCATGATTTAAAATTATTCTCAATTAATGTATATTTTTTTTGAGAAAAAATATTGTAGTGAACCACGAACTATGATTCGAATCATGACACAAATTCACCACCTAAACGCACTTTAAATTGGTCCTGTGATAGATAAAGGAACACTAATTAGATAGACGAATAGAGTATGGTTTAGACCCTTTCCATTGTGGTTCTTAAGATTGCCTTAATGATCAAAAGAGTGGGAGCATGAGATACACCACTTGATTTTTTTTTTTCACTTGAAAAAAAAAAAAAAGATCAATGTGGATATACACTTTCTTTCTCCATTTGGATTTGGTTAAAAAAAAAAAAGAGGGTAATTCATGCTTCTTTTATGAATTCCCTCGTTAATTTACACGCCTATCAAAATTGTATACTCCCTAGAAAAATTTAAAGGAAAAAGAGAGAAATATGTCAAGATTTGAGATAAATTAAAATTAATAAGTCAATAGTTTACATAAGTTAATAAATAGGCTAAATTACTGTTTTTATCCATAACTTGTCTGGTTATGAACCATAACTTGATAAATTATGACCTATTAATTTTTATAACTAAAAATTGACCTATATACTTTCTTAAGCTTTTCATATTGACATATTTTCTACTATTTTTGAAAATTTAACATTACTTTTTTTTGGTACACCAATAAATCGGTAGATTAAGTTTTATGTTCTTAAAATTTGCATAAGATCACAAAAAAATAAAAAAATACACAACTTTAACCGCTAAAAAAACCTAACCTACTAATATACTATACGTATCAAAGAATATCTCTCGACAATTCTATGCGAATAATGTCTGGACTTGTACATGCTTATGCTTTTGCCCAATGTTAAAGCGTCTCGTGCTTTCTGTCAACCCTTTAGATGGCAGAGTACTTTAATATACAACTCTCCTGCAAGGTGACATCAATCTTCTCCGGGGAAAAAAAAGTATGTTACGCAAATTGGAAAAGAAAATGTCCATGTAGTGACCGAGGATTAAAAAATTGACATTTCTACATATGTTTTTGCAGATATTTCTATATTTTAAGTACGGATATAGAAATAAAATATAATATTTTCCTGCAGAATACTTGAAATTCTTATAAAAATTTCTATGAATATCAATATTTTCACAGAAATATCTATTGTTGCGAAAAGTGTGGGAAATTTTTTGAAAATATGAACAAAGAGCTTAACCATAATTAGCACTTTTAGATTTTAAACCTAGGGGCTTGTTTGGTTCATAAGGGTTGAACCAAAATTTAAACATTTAAAATTTTTATGAGAAAAAAATACTATAATAAAAACTTTTTAATTTCAAATTTTTATAAAGAAAAAAAAATAACAAATCTATGAACCGAGGTTCAAATTCCTCCACCAAACGAGCATTAAATTATTAGACGAATTATAAGCATTCTCGTTTTTTCGTTAGAAAATCTCTGTATTAAGAAATTTTAAATCAAATTTTTGATTTTTTATGAGAGAAATATTATGGTAAAAACTTTTTAAATTCAAATTTTTATAAGGGAAAAGACTGTAACATAACTATAAATCGTGGTTCAAATCCCTCTACCAAACAAGTTGAATTATATGTCACTTTAATTCTCAAACTTTCCTTCTTTTTTTTTTATTAGAAAATATCTTTCAACTTTGATTTTTAAGTAATTTTAGTCCATGATGTTAATATTAATGAAAGATTTCTAAAATTTAACAGTGACAATCACATTCCCATAGCATAATAATTTAATATTTTACATAAATAGTTATGTTAAATGTGAAATATTATAGTTTATAATGTTTTTAACAACAATATAACATTTTACACTTAATATAACTATTTCTGTAAAATTTTTAATTACTATACAATTGGGAGGCGATTTTCTCTGCTAAATTTCAGTAGCCTCTCGTCATTCTTAGAGTCAAGAATTAAACTTAAAAAACAAAATTCAGGAAGTAATTTAACAAAGAAAAAAAAATCAAGAATCAAAGCGACACAATTCTCATGACTCATGGATTAAAAATGTTGACTGATTTGTTTCCCGTATAATAAAGTTACAACACACTATTATTCTTTTTTTTTTTTCAGCATATGAATATGATTAATAACCAAACAACTGGTTTTTAAATAGTCCAATTCAATTATTTTGTTTTTCTTAAAAGGAAAAATTGTCCCCATCATACAACAAATTTAATAATTAAATTCCAACAGAAACAAGGTCTCACTGCAATGTCATTGTTCTACACTCTTGATTCTGGTTTTTTTTCGTTTGTCCACAGTTTCTGTCATCTGTATTCCTGGAAGTTGACATGGCCCGTCGCCTGCGCATGCTCGACAGCCTCCTGAAAATCACACAAAAACTTATCAGCGCCATTTTTACATCACTTGAAAATAAAAGAAGCACGGTGCAGTCAAGTAACGTTTTTGATGGATGAGGCATGACCTTCTGGCCCTTTACTCCAATTTGGCATACCCCGCAGCGCAAAGTGAAGTTGGCAGTGTCGGTAAATCTCCTTTTCCTGGAAAACAGGAAAGAAATTAAGGGACCATCATGAATCATATTATGTTACCAACATGAATATTATGCGGAAATTCCCGGCATTTAATCAATGTGAGTGGTTTTGGAATGTCCAAAACGGAACAATGAACTCCTAAGACCTGAAACTAAAAAGCACTGAATGAAAAGCATGGGTTTGACCATGTGTCTCGCAGATGCAATAAGTGCCAGTTTGATATTGCATTTGGAGACCCCAAAAATCCTTTGCATGGGATACGATGCAAGTAGGGCGTTTGGTAAAAGCAAACACCAACAACTTCTACAATTAAATGGAGAAACTAGGAACTATTAAGTTTTGTTTTTCCTTTTGCTATAAGTAGAATTTCTTTCAAAAGCACAGCAATCCCAAACTATTCCAAGTCGTCTACACCTGGCTTAAAAACTAAACTCGTATTACGCAGGTCAATTTGATATCAAGTGACTGTGGAGTTGTCAAAGTGCTACCTCTGTTGCTCCTTGACAAAATTAAGAGTAATCGCTTCAACCGGCCCAACAGTTCTGTCTGTTTGTACGGTGAAGATAGTTTGATCAAACTCCTCGGGAGCTCCCTCAAAAGGAGACATCTGATAAGCCAAGTAAACAGAAACCAAGTGCCTCATTAGATGATCAGCTAAAGTACAAACATAACCCACAGATGATGAGAAGACAAGTCCTAAACAAATAATGGAAATATGCCAGTTAAAAGAAGTATAAAAACTAAGAAAAGCCAAACATTGAATCTAGTTTGAAAAGTCGGGCAGAGGCGGCCATTTGACAGATTGGGAGTGGAAAAAAAAGTGCTTCTACAAATGAGATGAACTGCTGCAAAATCTTATAGATAGTCCCTTGAAAAAGGACAAATAAAAATAAGGTGGAAACAATTAAAACTCCGGAAAACGTACAGCTAAAGCATCGTAATGAAGTCCATCATATATCAGCATGACCCGTTCTGAATACTTCATTTCCTGTCAAATAGTATCCCCAATGAAATGAGATAATTGATAAATGACATTCATTAATGGCAATTGGATACGATTTTGATGAATATAGAAACCTTTGCTAATGCTAACCTGTCCATACAAATAACATCGTGCTGTTTGGATATCGTAAGCTGCGATCTCACGTCCATAATGTTCGGCTAATATTGAAAGTTCAATGGCACCTTGATAGCGGGTTACAATATAAAAGTCAGCAAAAGAGCCAGATAGTGATCAGAGAATATATTAGCACTGATATGTGGCACATCACATTAAAGAAAAAGAAAATTTCATTCTAATCTTAGGATAAATTAAGTTGCCATACACCCTATTCGTGAATCAAAAGTATAATACTTTGTAGAAAAATTCATGGATATAACAATATCTGTTTAGTTAGCAATTGGAATATAGCCAAAGCTGCTTTGATATACACCAACTTATACACCAGCTTAGCAACTCATCCTGTGGCCACAGCCCAGGGCCTCGTTTTTCGTAGCTAACAAGAAAACGATGCGTATTTCAACATTGTAAAGATCGATATCACTTTTTCACTTAGGTAGTAGCACATAAATAACCAGCAATCGGTCAAAACAGAATGGATTTTGACATACCTCCCCATTTCTCTGAGTTTAGAATCCAAGCACAATACTCTTCATTTGTCTTCCCGAGAAATGCTTCCGAATATTTCTCTGGATCACTAGCCACTGTTGCAGCTATAACCTTAGAAATTTTATGAAATGTTAAACATAAGAAATCAACTAAAAGGCGATATAGGTCACTTTTCATGCTTGGTAGGGAAGCCGGTGCATATTTGTAAGCTTGAGTTCCTACAATCTACAGGCTCATTCTCTAACAACAAATTGATTTTACATATACAATTAGCACATAAGAAAAACATTACATAATAGAAAGCTTACAGGAAATCCAGCTCATAGTGGCACATTGCTATCATAAATTAACTAATGCATTATTTCGGAAACAGTCCACACAAAAAACCATTTTGAACACACGAGGCGATATACTCTCACATTACTGATATGAAAAAAGCTAGATTTTAGATGCCCAGAATACAAAATGAATTCAAAACATGGATTCTCCAAAAAATTACAATCCGAACTTAATGTTCGTATTACTGATATGAAAAAAGCTAGATTTTAGATGCCCAGAATACAAAATGAAATTCAAAACATGGATTCTCCAAAAAATTACAATCCGAACTTAATGTTCGACTCATTTCTATACGCACTATTTGTCAAAAAAGTGAAAAATTGAAAACCATAGATTATCACCTGTCTCAACTCCGGAGCTTTTTGTTTGTCATGGTCCATTACATACCTGATATAAGAAGTATATTAGAAGATAGGCCTTGAAAACATAACTTGTGAATTCACTAGAACAACATTCTTTTTTCTTTTTTCTTTTTCTTTTTAAATTCACAACAATAAGGTAAACGGATTCAGAATGTGAGTAAATCCCAGGCATACCCAACTGCATTGAAAAGACAACTATTGTCTGAGGGAATGACCCTTCTAACAATAATACCTTCCATTTATATGCACCTGAAAAATTAGCCAACAATTCAGCAGTTAAATATATGATATTACAATAAAAAAAAGGACAGAAATCAATATAAAGTGACAAATAAGAAAGGAACTAGAAATCCAAAACAGATGATAGCAATTCAAGCAAATGGTTAAAGAGGAAGGTAACCCTATATGATCAGAAAGAACAAAAAGGAATATTGTTAAGGAACCTTTAGCAATGAGATAACCCCACATACAAATGAAATTCTACATTTGAATTGAAAATATATACGTACATGAATTAGAAATATATACATACATATACATATATTTACATACATGCGTGTGAGTGTGTGGGATTGAAACAGCGGTACATATATTATTAAATATAGGGTGAAGAATCGATCAGAAACCAGCTTCCAAAGCTGAGGACAATACTTAACTGATTCAACTACAAGCATCAAAAGTCCATAATTAAAAATATACAACTAAAAGGATAAAGAGTATTCCATGAAAATGATTTCCTTTTTTTTTTTCCTTCCTTTTCCTGGAAAATAAAAGTAGTAATAAATTTACCTTAAACATTCCCGCTCAGAAAAATATGCACATATAAATAACATATACAACCAAAACACAAAAGATCAACAAAAGAAAAAGAAAACCCAGATTCAGAAACACAACCTGGAAGTTAAAAGAAGAAAAGAAAAATCCCAGAGTCCAGAAGCTGAAAATTAAAAGCAACCCAAAAGCCAAGAATTAAAGATAACGATAAAGAAGCATTCTTTGCGCATGAAATGGAATTAAACAAGATATATAGAACGAAATATCTGGATCTAGAAACACCACAAAGAAAGAATTGCTTTAAAGTTACGAAATTAAAGAGAAAGAGAACAAAACCTGGAGGACCCACAAGAGAGGAATACAGAGTCTGGGAAATATTGCTTTCTTTGTTGGGTTACAGAATTTTCCACGATAAGGTTGATATGGTGGTTGAGACTCGAGAGAGAGAGAGAGAGGAAAGAGAGAGAGAGGAGAGAGAGAGACAGAGGAGCTTTTTAGCTAAATGCCTGGCAATGGCATATCTGTGTTTTCATGTCCAAGTTAAAAGCGGGCGCTGAATGTTACTTGGGCTGTGATCAGGTGCGGTTGAGTTTCAGGGGATTATAGTGGGGTCATGGGAAAAATGATTGGTTTTGTACAAATTTTGATAATGATAGCTTCATTCAATTCGTCAATTTTTAATTTCATTAAAAATATAGAGCACATTTAATTTATTAATTTAAATTTTTAATTTAAGTTGTGATGTAATTTTATGTGAAAAATTTTATGTAGTAAAAAAATTAAATATGACTTTTAAGAGCTTTTTACTGTAACAAAACTTGAATTCTAAACTCGAATCGGTGAAATGAACGGGATCGTGATTTTATATGAGAGCTTTTAACTGTAGCAAAAAAATTAATTGTGACTTTTTATGAGAATTTTTAACTGTAATAAAATTAAAATTAAAAACTCAAATCGGTGAAATAAATGAAAGCGTTGTGTGTTTCTGAGGTCAAGCAAAACGTGCCGCTTTTATGCTATTTTTGATAGAAGGATATTGAATATATATATATATTTCTCTTTAAAATTTATATTTTAAATAGTTATTTGTTTTTTATTTTATAGTATTTTTTTCCTTTATATAGAATGTTTATTTCATTCAAATATCAGAATTATCCTAGTATTGCTCATATAATTATATATATATATATAAATATATAACATTTCTGCATATAAAATTTATAATAAATATTTTTTTAAAAGACAAATTTATAATACATATTTATATGGTCATTTTTAACCATTCAATTTGATTAAAATTACATCAGATTAAAAAGTATATCTAAAACAACTAAGAAAATATCTCAAAACCCACACCAAAATAAAAACAAGTTGAATCAAAATAACATCTTAGAAGATCACATGTAGTACAAACTTCCTAGAGAAACGGCATCCTGGAAAATGTAGAAAAAACAAGAAGTTGTTAAATGATGTATAGGAAATGGAGGTTGTATTAGATAAATCCGTTGATAAACTAGTTCAAAATGTGACGGTTTGAAATTTTTTTTAAAAAAAATTTAAAATAGAAAATTTGAAAAAGAAAAAAAGGTTCAAAACCACTTAAAAATAAGAGAAGATAGACTTATGCCTCGCTTAGGTGTTGGTTTAAATTTTATTAGTTTGAATTTTTTGATTTGTACAGAAAAATTCAAACTGTGTAATTTAAATTATAATTTGAATTGACGTTTAGATGTATAGTTAAAATTTTAATCTGAACATAGAATAAAATTTAAATTTGTGTTTAGTAGGTGTAAAAAACATAGAGATGACACTTTTTACTGTTTAAAAATAGTTTGAACACTGAACTTGAGGGTAGAGTTAAACTCTAAGTTGGACCGTTTAACTCAGTACAAACAGGAAATATAATTCAAACTACATGATTACCGAATGCTAATTTAAACTGTGCTCATTATTCAAACTCAGTTAAACATAACTAAACTAGTAAAACAAACAGAGTTCTTTTTACTACTCAAGTCACAACTCAAATTTTATTATTATTGTGTTTTCTCATATAAAAATTTAAATTCACTTTTATTATAATGTTTTTTTTTTCTCGTATACACAATTCAAGTGACAAACATAAACTTACAAAGATTTGCCAAAACACTAGTTTGAAAAACTTTCTACTTCAATTTGAACTAGCTCATCAGGCGGGCCAAAAGTCTCGCAAAAATGTTGTGAAATGGGACGTCTTGGAAATGGAAAGTAAAATATTTAACTATGTCCCCTAAGATGACATGTCGTAGTAGCCTAAAATGACATGTCATGTGTGGTGTCATGTTGTAACGGCATATCACGTACGACACGTGGTAGAATAAGGCGTGGTACAAAACTATATTTTAAGGCTTGTCTTAAAGAAAGATATCTATGTAACGACAAGTCACAAAATGAATTTTTAGTTGCTAAATACAAACTCTATTCCGGACTCTATTTTAGTTGCTAGTGTCTTTGTCACTTGTCAACTTAGTTTTATAAGACAAACTAATACAATAACAAGTCATCTTTCTATTACTTGTTTACAGAGTGACCAGCGGTCCTTTTAAGATTTTAAGTTAGATATGACTGTTTCTAAGAGTTTTTTATTGTAAGAAAACTCGAATCGGTGAAATGAACGGAATCTTAAGTTACAACTTCAATTCAAATTATAACTCAAAATCATCACTCAAATTATCTTAACTCAAAAATGTAAAAAAATAACCCCTATATTTTTAACGCTTGTCTAAAAGAAACGGCATCAATGTAAGATTTTAAGTTAGATATGACTGTTTCTAAGAGTTTTTTATTGTAAGAAAACTCGAATCGGTGAAATGAACGGAATCTTAAGTTACAACTTCAATTCAAATTATAACTCAAAATCATCACTCAAATTATCTTAACTCAAAAATGTAAAAAAATAACCCCTATATTTTTAACGCTTGTCTAAAAGAAACGGCATCAATGTAACGACAAGTCACCAAATGAATTTTGTCCTCATTGAGTACCCAATGAGGATGAAACCATGTCAAAACTCCCCAACACATCAATATTAAGAACTACTCGTAATGTTCCAACAACAACAGCTTTTGAACCGAAAAACAGCCAACTGCTTTCTCCATTTTGATCAGCAAATTACAGTGATGACATTGCAACCAACAACAAAATGTTAATGGGAAAAATGAAAAGAAAGTTTTAACAGAGATTCTTGGATATGACATTCCCCTCCCACGTTATTAACTCAAAATAGTTGGCGAGAAGCAGTGAGCCGAGTTTTAGGAGGCTATTACAGTGCTGCAATGCTGCTGATACTCGATTTCGATCTGTTTGACGTAAAGTAATATGGTATTCAAGAGGTTTTATCCTTACATAGATGAATAGAAATACTCTTAAAATAGTGGTTAATATTAAATTTAACTATAAAAAATAGTGAATATCTCACTTTGTCTTAAAAATTCAAAATGATAAAAAAAACGATCGATAAAAAATGAAAAAAGAAAAACTACAAAAAAAAAAAGTTGACAAAAAGCAAAAAATAAAAATAAATAAATAAAATCTCCGGCAACAAAATCAGGGGGTAACAAATTACCTGCCTTTCTTTAAATATGGATTCTCTCTTAAAAAATGTGAGTTCATTTAAAATAATGGTTATATAAATTGTTAAAAGAAAAAATATAGAAACAGAGAGAGAGAGAGAGAGCAAACGGAGAAAAAGATCTAAAAGTAAAAATTAAGAAAAGAAAATGTTTCGCTTGATGATGAAGGGAAAAAAACCTCTTGTCAAACGTTTCGCACATTCCTCGTGCTCTCTCTCATGGTAATGAGTATATAAACTTCTTGGCATGAACATATAAATATTGAAGGACAGTAACACCTAACTTTTTAAATTAATGGTCACTTTTTTTTCATATGCACATTTAAAGTTTTTTATTTCAGGGAAATGCCTTTTTTTTTTCTTTTTTTTTTTTTACAGTAGTGATTAATCACTAATGCGTTAGGATTTATCACAAACACATCATGATTGGTCTTTGATAAATTAATATATCAATGATATTTATCAATAGTTTATCACCGATAAATCGATAAATTATTGATTAAAATTGATTTATCACTAAATAATATTAGTCAATTAATTATAAACCACAAAAAATTACGAAGTGATGCATCACCAAGTCAATCGGCAATCATAGACCGATGTATTATTAACGTAGTATAATTTATCACTGTAAACAATCATTTCACTAAAAATACAAAACTTTGATTATAATTTACTAAAAAATAGCTCAAAAAAGATGGTCATTTTGTTTTTCCTTTCCCTGCTCTTTTCCTTGATTGTTCTTCTTCTTCTTCTTCATTATTATTATTATTATTATTTATTTTTTTATTTTTTTTTGGCTCATCCTCTATCCTATTAAAGACATGTGCAAGAGTGACATTTTTTATTTTTGGTGTTAACGTGTTACTATTGCTGTGATGCAATCTATTGTATTAATGCAATTATGCGAGTGAGTTTTTAAAAATATTAATTGACTCAACTAATGTTTATTATGCTCTTTCTACAAAAATATAGGTCTTTTTTTTTTTTGTTGTTATTATTGTTTATTACTTTTTAGTTGAATAAAGGGAGTATATATATATTTTAATCCTAAATCTTAAATCCTAATCCTAATCTTAAATTTGAATCTTAATCTTAAATCAAAATTCTAAATCCTAATCTTATCCTAACTCTAATTCTATCCTAAATCTTAATCCTATTTCAGCAATATTTTAATCCTAACTCTAATTCTAAATGGTAATCTTAGATAACTTCCGTCCGTCTCCTAACCTATTTCAGCAAATTGTTGAGCCCCAAACCCAACGATTCAGCGGAAAAAAGAAAAAATCCCAACCCACCACAACCCAGCAAATTGTTCCGGTTCGGCTTTATCTCAGATCTGATTCTCATCGACTTTGTTGGTGTGCGCAATAATATCTTTCTCCAATCTCCTCTTATATCGATCTTTGGCAATGTCGGGCGTTGAAGCTAAATTTTTGGAGATACTTGAAGATAATTTCGAAGATAATTTATTGGAGGTACTAACTTCCTCTATATGTGCTTAATTTAGTGTAAATTTAGTTCATGAATTTAAAATTATGAGTTAAAATTATTTTTAATTTACGTGTATTTTTTGTGAAAGAAAATATTATAATGAATAACGAATCATAATTTAAATCAGGTTACGAATTCTCTAACCAAACGCAATTTTAATTTATATTCTCACTCTTTTATTATTCATTATTCGAATTAGGACACGAATCTCTCGATCGCAATCTTAATTATATTCCCGCTCTTTTATTATCACCATTTATATCTATTATTGTTGCTCATCATTTTTTTTTTTTTTCCTTTTTTTGTCCAAAAGCATATCGAAGACGCTGTCAAGAGTCTGGTACATAATTTACTCATTCTATACATATGCCCCTATAATTTCTTATATTTGTCCATATGTGTATTCTTTCTCTTTAATTAGCGGTTGATGCTTTGATACGTGTGGTTTTAAATTTAAACTTTACAGAAAGAAAATCCCACTCCATGGAGGATCAAGCGTTGGAAAAATTTTCTAGGAGACGACCTTAAACGAGTAAGTTGTCATTATGGGTCCAAGTATCGATCAATTTTCTACTTATGATGTATTTTTATGTGACCTATTAATTTTTAGTTGATTGTAAACCTGATAGTTACTTCCAAGTTTTTAAGAGTAGACCTACTTTCTACAGTTTCTCTTTAAAGTACTTGTGATGTTAATGTTAGGTACCTAGGTTTTCCACAGCTAAACAGCCAAACATACACATATCAATGCTGAAATTGACAAGGAATTGGATAGAAATAAGGGAATTCTTTTATTGAAAACCACTAGCCAATCTCCAATTACACTACTAAACTCTACTAAACGGAAAAGTAACGGATAGAACGCAGAATTTGAGTACTCCGGGCCTAACGGATAGAGAGACCACCGCTCTCCCTAATTTTAATTTTCCAAAACTCTCAAAATCACGGCATACCCCTAGTGAGCTACTAAGCCCTTTATTCATACTAATTCCTACTAACTCTACCAGCCCACTAACCAAATAAGTTGCCAAGTCATTAACGGATCCTAGCATTACCCCCGCCCCAAAGAAACACCTTGTCCTCAACGAGTTAAGTAATCGCAGCTATGTGACTCCACTTCCTTATGGGTCCAAATATCTATCAATTTTCTACTTATGATGTATTTTTATGTGAGAAATATTTTTATGTTAAATCAGCAGGAAGAAGAAGAAGTCATCCCTTCTTCATTTGATAAAAAGCAATTGCGGATAGGCAAAAAATTAGTGGTTTTATTATCAAAGGAAATCGGTCGAGGTAGCGATGGGACTGTAGTCTATGAGGGGTCTTATGAAGGTAGAAAAGTCGCCGTGAAACGCCTTGTCAAAACTCATATTACACTGGATGACAATGAAATCGGGAATCTCATAGCGTCTGATCATCACCAGAATGTTGTAAGGTATTATGGCGTGGAACATGACAGAGATTTTACTTATCTTGTTCTGGAGCTCTGTGATTTTAATTTGGATGACCTTATCCGAATAACTTCTTTGAATTCCTCTCCATACGAGCTTGATCCTAACTACCTTTATGGTGGTACGAGCACCATGACTATGTATAAAAACCGCTGGGAGCTACTAAAGAATACTTTGGGAGATGTTAAACTTCTCAAAGAAAATAATGACCGTCCGTCACCTTTGTTACTTCAGCTGTTGAGGTTAGTGAAAATTCCTTTTAATCATATATAACTAAAGATCTTTAAATCGTGTTATGCATATCTGAGTACAATTATGTCTACTTGAACTTTTAATGAATCATCTTTTGGATCATTCTCTTTGTGCTAGATTTATCATGCTAACTGCTAATTAATGGCAATATTTTATTTTCAATTTATGATCTTATAGAGACATGGTTTCTGGACTTGTTCATCTGCATAAATTGGGTATAATTCACCGAGACTTAAAGCCCCAAAACATTTTAATAACTAAAAGAAATTGTACTTTGTGTGCAAAGCTTTCAGACATGGGCATCCACAAACGCCTCCTAGAGGACGAGGCTTACTCATATGTTACTTCTTATGGTAAGTACTCTCATTTCTCGGTCTTAGTCAATTGAAATGACATTAAGTCGTCTTTGGACGCTCACAATTTTAAATTGCACTCTAATGGTGAAAATATGACATAATCAAGGGTTAATATCAATGCAATAAGTAGATTAACAGCTAAGATTGTTTGGATATTTTGATCATTTTACATAAAATATTAACAAAGTTAGGGTAAGGGGATGTTGACGTAAAATGTTTTGGTCAAAGGGGTGTCTCTATGATTTGAGAAAAACACTTAAGGATGCTAGTGTAGTTCTCCTATACTTTAATACCTGTTGGGCCCTAGAAAAAGTTGTCTTGAAAGCTTTTAGGACTGTTTTCATTTATGAAGTACATGCTATACAAGGAACATCTCTTATAGAGATTTGGTTAATAAGAAAGGAAAATGTGAAACGTTGAAATCTGGTAACAAATCTTCAAAGAATCAGCAACATATCTATCATGAATAAATTCCAGCTATAAAAGCAAACAAATCATTTTTTGAAACTGACAAATATATCCTCAAACAGCTGCACATTGCAACAAGTCTGATTATAAACATTTGTACATAATATGCTCCCACAAACAATTTCTCTTAACCTAAGTTCAGATTTCAAAGTAAGATTTAAAAGTGAAAGTTGTTATTTCAGATTGGATAGTGAAAGTGAATCTTGAAAGTGAACAAACTTATTGTGTGAAGACTCAACAGACAAAACCTGACCAAATACCATAAAACTATTATGTAAGTGCTTCTTTCTCCCTTTAATGTTATTCTCGTGCATATTTTTTGGAATCAACTTTAGGTTGCGGCGCAAGCTGGAGAGCAGCTGAACAGCTACTTCATGGAAAACAAACGAGTGCCACGGATATGTTTAGCTTAGGTGGCATCGTCTTTTTTTGCGTCACTCGTGGTAGGCATCCATTTGGGGATCTTGATGTACAAGAGTGGAATATTATTAGAAACCAAAAGCAAGACTTGTTTTTGATACAGGATTTTCCAGAAGCCTTCCATCTTATTTCTCGTTTATTAGAACCTGATCCTGAAAAGAGGTGAGGTTATATAATTTCCTTCAATATATGGGTTCTGCATAATCAATACTTGACATAAGTTACTCTATTTTTACTGAATAGGTTAAAGTAAAGGTACATACCATATATATATAGATATATAGATAGATATATATATATATATATGATTTGTACCCTTTGAAAACATTGGAGTAGATATACACACACGTGTATGTGTGTATTTTTTTAAATGGTACGTAATACCCTTTGATACTAATTAACAATTACATTTATAATTGTTCGGCACACTTAAATCATATCATGTAGTTGTCACAATGCCTTGTTGTTGATACTAACTGGATTGGGAAACATTGGAGAAGGTTTGAAGTTTTAATTGAGAAGAAAGAAAGTAGTTAGCACCTAGCTTGAATCCTCAATTCTTGATTAAAATTACTTGCGTGTTATTCTTGGCAGGCCAAAAGCAAGTGAGATATTGCAACATCCACTGTTCTGGGATGCAGAGAGGAGACTTTCTTTTCTGTGTGACACTATTGATAGATTAGGCGGGAACTCTGATCTTTTCAAGCCGCTCAAACGTACAGCATGCACGGCTTTAGGTACAAAATGGAATAAGAAGGTAGATGACAAGATAGTTAGGCACATGAGGCCGTACTTAAAAAGGGATTACAAATTTAGCAGTGTTCGAGACTTGTTACGACTGATTCGAAACTTGTTGAGTCATTATGGAGAGCTTGCTCAAGATGTTCAGGTGATTGTAATAGCAGTATATGAATCATGTGAATACTTTTTCACACACATTTTAAAGTTTTTCAAGGATATGAGTCACTTAGTTTGATGGTGACTATTTCAGATACTCGTAGGACCGATGCATGAAGGATTTGATGACTATTTTACAAGCCGATTCCCATCACTCTTGATGGAAGTATACAAAGTTGTATGCTCATACTATGGAGAAGGGGAGTACTTCACGAAATATTTTGCAGGGAATCTGTAGTAAGTATAAATAATAAGTAATAATAGTGTTTTTTTTTTTTTTTCCTTGCAACTATCTATCCTGTTCTTCATGCCAAGTATCAGCTCAACCCCACGAGCAATGTTTCAAGTGATATTACTTTTCTTGTAGATTGTCAAGGAAAATGATTAATGAGAAATGCTAAATACAAACTCTATTCCGGACTCTCTTTTAGTTGCTAGTGTCTTTGTCACTTGTCAACTTAGTTTTATAAGACAAACTAATACAATAACAAGTCATCTTTCTATTACTTGTTTACAGAGTGGCCAGCGGTCCTTTCAAGATTCTACGAAAGATCAACGATAATGCTTACGTTGTGGGTTTAACTCCAGACATGGGAATTTCGTCAACTTTCAATGTTTCAGACCTATACGAACACTATCCCCCTGATGAATTGCAACTTTCTACCTAACCTTGAGGACGAATTTTTTTTTTTTTGCCCCCCCCCCCCCAAGGGTGACTGATGCATGACAGCAAGTTGGATTAGGATTAGAATTTATTTCTTATTTTCAGTTTTTATTTTTTCAGTCTTATCTTTCTTATTTTAATTGGTGTTCCTGTTAGATTTAGCATTCTTTTATTTATAGTTTTAGAGTTACAATAGACTTTGCTTATCTTTCTTATTTTAATTGGTGTTCCTTTTAGATTTAGCATTCTTTTATTTATAGTTTTAGAGTTACAATAGACTTTGGACTCTTGATTACATTCTATAAAAGCACCAGCACTATGTTGGAGTTTTTAGTTATGTTATTTATATTTTCAGATTTAATAAAGTCCTACTTTTTTCAAGGACCAATCTTCGTCCTCTGTAGCTTGTTATATATTCAAGCAGGGAATCTAACTTTCGTAGCTATACCATTAACTAGATCTTCTTCTTTAAACTCTTTAGCACGTCTATGAGCATCTGTAGCATCTTTCTGATTTTGAAATTCTTGGAGTATTGGTTGTTACTTGTAATTTGCTGGGAATGTTCAAATTAGGTTCTGCAACTTCTCCTTGTACCTTGACTGTGCGTGCTAACATGGTTGAAGGTGCAACTACTTGCCTGCAAAAAGTCTGAACGGGAAAGGGTGATAAAATTCTATCCTCAGTGTGGAAAAGTTGTCTTTTCTCTCGTCTCTTTTCCCTTGAGGAACTAACACAATCTTTTTATCATTCCATTGAAAACTATATGTATTATCCCTGCCCTTTCTTTTTTTGAAAGTGGAAGTGTACAATTTTTTAGTGATGTTCGTTTCTGCACCTGTCTTAAGCCATGCGGTGAAATTTTATCAACAGAAACACATTAGGTTACCATCTAGTAACCAGTCGGGTCACCAGCCCAATCACGTGATAATGGATAGGAAAATGCAACTGGTTGTGTATAGATTCTGAGGATACTTTGAATATGAATGAAAATGCAAATAATTAAGAAGAATATCGGAAATTATAGGGGTTCACTCTCAAAAAGAGCTACGTTCACTTTTAGAAAGTTCTCTCTATTTTTCTTGGCTCTCTGAAGAAAAATTACCATCTCCTTTTCTCTTTGGGGTCTTGCTCCTTTTATATCTCGCAGATTACACTTTAAGAAAACCGAGACAAATGGTTACACAACAGTCTCTCTCGAGTAGCCTACCATCATACTCAGTTAGACTGTAGCTATTCGGTACCTTTTTGGACTATTCATCTACCTATTTTGTCTACTATTGCGGCTCTGTGGATCTCCTGTGATTTCTCATTGGTCTGTTTTTTGCGGTTAATATGTTGGTAATCATTTTCTCTGCCACTGACTTTGTCCATGCCCGTAAGTAATCTAGGGATTTTCCTCCTGTCACCTCAATAGACACTCTTGGGATCTAGATCAGGGGACACTCTTAGGATCTGAGTCAGGGGACACCCTTGGGATATGGGTCAGAGGACTGAACATGCTACCCTCTGCGTTCCCACTGGGCCTCCACGACGAGTTAAAACGGAACCTTTGTCCCCGCAGATCTTTCCATAGTGTCGTCGGTCTATAGGGACTTGAGATCTTTATCTGCCTTGACTGCTTGATTGGTCGACCGTCGGTGTGGATTTAAATGTTTAGCGAAAGTTGTCAAGAAGTATGAAACGAAAGTAAAGAAAGCATGACAAGAAAGAAAAGAAAGCATAATATGATGAACGCTTTAAATGTTTAGGAAATGTGTTAAGATGTATGACATGAGTGCATATATGGGTATGCATTACTGTTTATATTTACTTTGGTCTAATGTTACTTGCTAAGCGAAAACTCATCCAGTTTGTTCGTCTTGTAGGAAGCTCGGGTAAGACACCATCTCTCTGAAGCCTATTTGCTGGGCATGCATAAAAGGGTGGAGCAGTAGGATGTGGGCAAGTGAGTGATGGACGCACCATGAGTTTGAGAATGCTGCAATATGTATAAAGTATATAGTATTTATGGAAGTAAGAGTAAGTAACTTATGTAATGAGAGTAATGTATACAAGACACTGAGTCTATGCTTAGCAACATCGAGTCACAAACTATGTTTATGTACCCAAGATACTATCTTATTAATGGCATGTGAACGACAGTGGTATGCAAATGGTAAGACGAATGTATGATCACACTTAGGAACGGATGTTAAAGTTTTAAAACGATTTTATCTACAAAATTATTTAATGGTAGAAGTTGACAATGTTTCCGGCTAGGTATATTAGAATTTATTTCACTATTGAAGAAAGAAAAAAGTAGTCTAAATTTTAGGAGGTTATAGTTCAAAAGTGATAGAAGTTAGGAAACAAGCTAAGTATGAACGTACCAACTGGTCGTCACACGATCCTTACTGTAGTAAAAAAGTTAGATGTGACTGTTTCTGAGAGCTTTTTACCGTAAAAAAACTCAAATCGGTGAAATGAACAGAACCTTAAGTTACAACTTCAACTCAAGTTATAATTCAAACTCAACTCAAAGACTTCGTTCACTTCGCGGATTCGAATTTTTAATTCGAACTGAGATGTGACATTTTATGAGAGCTTTTCACTGTAGCAGAAAAAGTGATATGTGACATTTTCTGAGAGCTTTTTACTGTAAAAATCTAGAATTGAAAACTCGAATCGGTGAAATGAACGAGGCCTCATCTCTCAAGTCACTCTAACTCAAAAATGCAAAAGAACAACCCCTATATTTTTAAGGCTTGTCTTAAAGAAACAACATCTATGTAACGACAAGTCACAAAATGAATTTTGTCCTCATTGAGTACCCAATGAGGATGAAACCATGTCAAAATTCCCCAACACGTCAATATTAAGAACTACTCGTAATGTTACAACAACCACAGCTTTCGAACCAAAAAACAGCCAACTGCTTTCTCCATTTTGATCAGCAAATTACAGTGATGAAATTGCAACCAACAACAATGTCAATGAAAAGAAAGTTTTAACAGAGATTCTTGGATATGACATTCCCCTCCCACGTTATTAACTCAAAATAGTTGGTGAGAAGCAGTGAGCCGAGTTTTAGGAGGCTATTACAGTGCTGCAATGCACTCGATTTCGATCTTGGCGTCCAACGGTAATGCTGCTACTTGATATGTTGAACGAGCTGGGGCAGGCGAAGGAAAATCTGCAGGAAAAATTAAAAACTAAAATAAGACAGGTTGAATGAGAGAGTTTAATTGCCAATTAATTCTGGGGGGGAAAAGTGTCATGATTTTGTTCGCCACAAATTCGCCACTAAGAAAGCATGTTTGAGGTAAAGTAATATGGCATTCAAGAGGATTTTGATTCAAGAAGTGGTTAATTTTTCACTTATGCTGAATGTAAAACTACTGAAGAGACCAGAAATCTTCTCTAAAACTCACATTTAGCATAGATCTCATTAACTTTCTTGAAGTCTTTCAAGTCAGCCAACCTGCAGGAGAGAATAATGAAGCAGAATCAATAACCATTTATCACCAAGTTACCAAAAAAGAAAAAGAAAACAAGACCTTAAGACAAATGATCCATACATAATTGTTGTTTTGACCACAGAAGAATAGCTGGCACCACCAGCTTTAAGAATTTCCCCCATATTCTTGAGGACCTGCAATTAATTCGTGGCTAAAATCCATTTTAAAAAAAATACTATCTTGGCAAAATGCCACAAAATAACACTGTAATAACCAAGTCCAACCACAAAATCAAAGCAACAAAAAAAAAAAAAAAAAAAGCCCACTTCAGATACATAAGCCTACTTTTCTTTCTTCAATAAAAGAATTGGCAAAACAATCGTGTATAAACATCATTTTGCCAAGGTACAAGCTTAAAACCTTACTTTAGGAAAGACAGAATACAACCCATTTACCATTTTTATCCTGAAATTACTATGATGAAATTAAAATTTACAAGTCACTAGTTGTACCTGCTCGGTTTGATCTTCAACGTTATCCGATATGAATTTCCCAGTCTATGTTCAAGAAAACAAACACACATTTTCATTAGTGTAATGCACACAAAAACACATATTAACACTGAACTGAAGGGCAAAAAAAACAATACCTCTGGAATAAGGCCAAGGACACCAGAAACATAGAGAAAGTTGTTAGCTTTGATAGCTTGGGAATAAGGTCCCAATGCCGCGGGAGCCTTTTCTGTTTTAACAGCTTCTTTACTGCCTACAAAACCCCCCAAAATCAATTTTCTTATATTATTATTTTTTATATTAAAACCTTAAAATCAATTAATTCACTTAAATCAAAACACAAATAAGATTTCGCAACAAAATCAAATAAACACAATTATAATTGTGGGATAATATCAAATCAGTTGTTTTGCTACAACATTTTCTCTCACAAAAATTCAAATTCAATTTTTTTTACTACGTATTTTCTCTCACGTAAAAAATTTGAGTTGTGACTTCAATGGTGAAAAGTACTCACCCATTGCATTCCACCCAATGCTATATTTTCAGGAATGCTATCTATTTCCTACATTTTATATATATAATGTTAAAATTTGTCCCCTTTATAACATAATTTGTAAGACGTAAGAAATGTTCCTAAAAACATGGAACACAACATTTTCATAAAACACATTGGATTGGAAGTTTTTGTTATTATCCACTAAAATTGGTACAAACCAAACAATCCCAACGAAAAAAAAAAAGTGGAAAAAATTACTTTGCTGATAAAAATCAAAATCTTTGAAGTAAAAATATTCCTAGTATTGTAGCTCAATAGAAAAAAACCCATTAATTAAGACCAATAACAAACCCAAAATCAATAGATTGACGTAAATTATCATGCAAAAATTAAAATTTCCAACATTTAATTACAATCCAAATAAAGGGAATTATATAATTTTCCCTATTCTAGTGGCTTAATAGAAATCCATTACTGAAAAGGAAAAAAAAATCTTGACGAGAGAAGTTTTAGCGGGATGATTTTCTCGGGAGAAAATGAGAGGGAAAGTGGAGGAACTCACGAGAATCGGTGGAAATGCCGAGGCAAGCGAAGGGCGCAGAGCGCTTGGAGGAAGAGGATCGCCAGAGGGTTGAGCCGGCGAGGGAGGCGCAGCCCACGCCCGCCGCGGCTAACGGAGTCCGGCCGCGCAGTGCGCCCATCTCCGCCGCCGGCATGTTGAACGTCCGAGCTGCGCACCACGCCATTTCTCTCTCTCTCTCTCTTGTTTCTCTCTCTACACTTTGGTTTCTGCTGACTGACTCTCTCTCTCTCTCTCTCTCTCTCTCTCTACTCACAGTCTCACAACTGTCGCTTGTGGAGTTTTCGACTTTCCGGCTCGCCCTTTCTGTCCTTTTTCTTTACAATTATACCCTCGGTTTTTCCGCTGGTTGGGCCTCGGCTTGTATTGGCCTTGCAGGCCCATTAGACTAGGTCAATTTTTATGGTCCAGTCTTGTTAACTGTTACTTAAGCGTCAAGTTGGCCCAAGCCTAATTATTGATCGGAAAATTTTCAAGAATGGCATAAAAATATCACACTATTTTATTCGTATCGTCAATTTTTTTGAGATAAATTAAAATTAATAGGTTAATAATTTACATAAGTTAATAAATAGGTTAAATTACTGTTTTTGTCCATAACTTGTCTGGTTATAAATCATAACTTGACAAGTTATTATCCATAAATCACAATTTTTGTTCATAATTTATCTGGTTATGAACCATAACTTGACAAATTTATTCATAACTTATCTGGTTATGAATTATAACTTGACAAGTTATGACCTATTAATTTCTATAACTAAAAATTGATCTATATACTTCCTTAAGCTTTTCATATTGGCATATTTTTTACTATTTCCGTATTATCATTTACATCATTACTTTAGTGAGCATCTTTTATATTTTACTAGAATAATTTTTTTCTTAACACGATATTTTTCGTATTCTACCGGAATACGTTTTATAGTCTATCATAATATTTTGTTTAATGGCATAAATAATAAAATGATGAAAAACAATGATCATTCTTGTAATTTTCTCACATCCTTGTGTTCAATGTTCAAATATTCCGTCATTACTGATAAGGAATTTATTCGCATACTCTCTAAAAAAAAAAGATATTCCTCTAATTCACCAGTTGCTTTAGTTGCGAACCTATTTGAGTGGTCTTTTGGAACCAATTATTCTTAATATCTTATGTTCTGTTTTACATCGAATTAGTTTTTTAAAGGGTTCTTTACTTTTTAGCGCAATTAGTATGAAAATTATAGTATTGTGATGGTTTAGTCTATATTTGTTTTCTTCCAGCCAATTTTGGTCCATAACCATTAAAGTGAGGATTCGATTTTTAAAATTAAATAGAAATAATCACATGTCTATCGTCTGGTAACTTCAAATGTTACAAAAACCCTAGCAACTTGAAATTATACACAAACAATCCTTCAAAATTATGGACTTATTCAGTTGCATTTTTGAATTATAGTTCTTGAGTTGAGTATAGATCATTGAAAAAAGAACATGAACTTGAATTAAAGTGACTTGAGTATAGATCTTGAGTTGAATTTAAGTTATAACTTGAGTTGAAGTTATAATTTGAGTTTGTGTTTGGATGTGTACATTTGAGTTATGATTTGAATTGAGAATCTATTTGAGTTTGTGTTTGGGTAGGTCAAAACTTGAATTTGTATTTAGATAGTATTTTAATAAAAAGTCAATGGTGATAGAAAATTTTAATGGGGTATATGGGTGGGGTTTTATTCGTCTTTTCGTTGTGAACTCATAAAAAAATCATCTCAATCAGAATTAAAACGAAAAAGTTATGACGTTTTTTACTGTTCATTAATTTGAGTTTGAGTTTAGGGACTTAAGTTGAAGGGAGAACTTGAACTCAGATTTTAGCCACAATTCAAGTTAAAACTCAAATTTTACAAAAGAACATGCACTTGAATAAAGTTGTAACTTGAGTTTAAAGTTTTGGTCCAAAAAAATAAACCCTATTTCTTTTACTTTGCTTAGATTTTCTGAGATCAAACAATAAAGATGGGATTTTCCTTTTGTTTTTTTTTTTTTGTTGCCATTTAAATTCGAATATTGAGATTGTTATGTGCTTTCTGTTGCATTTCTTGACGTGTTTTCTTGGAAAATCTCCTTGCAACATTTATATGTGCTATAGTTGTCATGATAATTGGAAGGAGACATGAAGCACAAATAATTTGTGAATTAAGATCTTGCAACTTAATTTTATAAACAATTAATTGCCATGAGAAATTCACTTCTCTGATGAGTGTTATGATTTCATAGGTCAATTTTTGTCATCATAAACATGAATTCTACAGATGGGACAAGAGCCTTGGCGCATCAGCCATTGGTCTATGCAGTCCAAGTGGAAGAAATGCCCACAATTGGGGAGTCTTCTTACACTCTCTTCCCTCTTCACTTCCTACGAGATAGAAGAAGAAGCATTCACAATAGTGTAAGTAATCATTTCAAACACACCCATTTTTCAGTTTCCATTAATGGGGCATGAAGTAGGAAATTCCATGGGGTTCAAAATTGTTTTAAAGGGGTTTTAATATAATATTTGTTAGGATTAGAAGCCCTAATTCTATACTTCCCGAGGAAAAGAAAATAAATAAGAACGCACAATATTTATAGTGGTTCATTCTCATTGTGTGAGTTATATTTATTTTATTTAACTGTAATGAAAAAGAAGATTACAAAAGAAAATGTGTTTTTTTTAACCTCTTTCTTAACTCTAAAAAGGGCATCCCTAGGCCAAAAAAAAAAAATAGAGTAATGATTAGACTCCGCAAACTATAATATTATGTTTGCTTTTTTTTTTTTTTTCTTTTTTGCTTCCCTTTTGAACGTTAAGTAGAATATTATATCTAGTACCTGAAGGCAAATTGAGCAACAAAAGTCATGTTGATGATTCTTGCTTGGGTGATATTTATGTGAAGGAAGATTTTGAATGCAAATCTGGGACAGCCCTTTATTTGCAGCTGTGTCATAGATGTCTGAAATATCTCTGTAAGTTGTTTCCAAGGGGCTGATCTGCTCAATAGGGGTAAATTTCACAAAATGTGAAGCAAAATTTATCACCAAGATTAAGAAAATATATTCTGTTACTTATTGCTGTTTATTAAGGTAAATTACTTACCTGCCATTGATAGGCTTTTAGCATTGCAGGAGACGCATAATCCATGAAAACTTTTCCATTCACTAAACTTCTCAGTATGGCAGCCTGCAAAAAAGTTAAAAAAAAAAAAAAGTTTTAACAATGAAAATTTGAAGTTCCACATTTATTTTCATGATAATGACACTCATTATTGCTCTTCAATTATGTATATGTATGTATGCATGTATGTATGTATATATAATAATGTAATATAGTGGCTAAGGCAATACCTTGGAAAATGGTTCACCGTCAATGGCTGAATCCAGCAACTGAATGGCTGCAACTGCCCCTGCTAGGCCACCTATTATAGCTCCTTTAAGAAATCCAGTCTCTGTAGTTTGCCCTTTTATGGCTCCATGAATTGCTCCCACTATAGCCCCTCCTATATATATGTGTGTGTATATATATAACTTCATGAAAAAATTCTAAAGGAATTTTCAAAAACTTTGCAAGAAAAGTCAGGCAAGTAATGTCCTTCACTTTGAATTCACAGTGGAGACTTAGCATCAACAACTTATTTGAGGCTTCAAAATATACACACACATTCATACATACAACTATATATATATGTGTGTGTGTGTGTGTGTGTAACTATTAAACCATCTTACTAGCTTATTGAGAAGAATGCAAAGACATTCTCGCACAAAGCAACAAGCGACGCGACTAATGACATTATTGATTGATTGAGAGAGAGAAGCAAATGACATTCATACATACATCTATACAAACACACACACACACACACACACATATATATATATATGTATATATATGTATAACTATTAAACCAGCGTTTAGTTAGTAGATTCTTATGATTCAAATCATGATTTGTAATTTATTATAGTGTTTTCTTTTATAAAAAATACACATAAATTAAAAATAATTCTGAATCATAATTTTAAATTTATAAACTAAACATCTAATTCAGTAATTGAGAAGAATGCAAAGACATTCTTGCACAAAGCAACAAGCGACTAAGTGACTAATGACATTATTGATTGATAGATTGAGAGAGAGAGAGAAGCCAATGACATTGTTGATATGAAGGGTGACTAATTCTTGTATTTTAACCAACACCCAACAACCACTTATTCAAAAAAAAAAAATCCATGAAATTGTTACTGGCAATGAGCTAGAAAAAGCAGAGAAAGTAAAAGATTATTACCTAAAGCAAAAAAGCAAGTGAAAGCAGCAAAAACAATCTTCTTCATGAGTCTAACAAAGGATTTAGAAAAAGAAGCGCAAATTGATAGAACTTCCTGGCCAGGAAACCACCCTTTCATGAAAGAAAAAACACTTGAACTTGCCATGTTTTTTGCACTAAAATGAAGAGCCCTATTAACTGGCTAGCTAGTTTGATCTTGCCTTGGGAATAAGTGAAGATGCATTTAAAGGGAAAGATGAGAGAAAAACAGAATTGGGGCATTTAATGGGCCTAGAGCTGAGGTTCACCAACCCATGCAAACACATGTGTCATGGATTATAAATGATGCAAAATGCAAATTACAAACAGCTGATTTTTCACGAAATTAGACTATTATATATGCCAAAAGTGTGTATGTATATGAATAATGCTAGAAAATAAGAACACCGTTTCTAATCTTAATTTTTGTATCAATTTTTGAGTTGTCCGTCTTTTATTAGTAAGTGTAATGTAGTAATATGACGATTTTTTGAACATCTATTAATAAAATCCTGATAATTCTAAAATTTGTATAAAAATTAAGACTAGCTTTGATGTATCTGGTATTTTTCTTTCTTTTGTTTTGTCGAATAGCGTCTTGATTTACCCTTCATGGGAAACGAATTTTGGTACAAGTAAAAATGGATATATTCTAAGGGTATCAGCATTCGTTATGGCTTATGACTAGACTCCCTTAAGGCAACCCACGCCTTTCTCTTTAATTACTTCATCAGTATGGGGAGCTGGCCATGGAAACATGGGTACTGTCCTGGATAGTTATCCTCTCTTTATCTCCCCCATCTCTCTCTCTCTCTCTCTCTCTCTCTCTTAGGGAATTTACCCTTTTGGGATCTTAAGATTTTCTTATTGTTTGGTTAGCTTACTTCTTTAGTTTATGTGGTTTTAAGCTTGGTCTAGTAGTAAATCCATATTTTTACTTATAATGTTAGAGATTCAAATCGTTCATTTCACCGATTCGAGTTTTTAGTTCTAGGTTTCTACAGTAAAAAGCTCTCAGAAAATGTCACATCTAACTTTTTTACTACAGTAAAAAGCTCTCAGAAAATGTCACATCTCAGTTCGAATTGAAAACTCGAATCCGCAAAGTGAACGAGGATAGATTACTCCTAAAAAATTATGTTTTTGAATCCTTTTTTCTTCTTCTTCTTCTTCTATTTTTCCCCAATGAATCCCTGTGCTAATTGGCATCTCAAAGTATATTGATAGCTTACTCCTAAAAATTATGTTTTTCTAAGTTCATGAAAACCGAAGGAAGTGATTGGATGCAAGTGGCATTCCTAGGAGCATTTTAACCTTGGATGTGCAATAATTGCACGTCCAAATTCCCCTTGAATTTTGAAGACGTACTATGTATTACCACTAGTTTATCCTGTCGCAATTTCTCTAGAAACCTCTTTCATAAAAGCCATTTGAACGACCACAGAGTTAAATTTAATAATAATAATAATTATAATAATAAAAGAACTTGTGTGTTGTGAGTTTTTTTCCATCCATTATATGTAGTGTCACAAAATTTTAAGAATCATATATATATATATATATATATATTAACTTAGGGTTGGAGGGATTCAAACTCTACATCTTTTAATGGAATTATATATAAAAATACCGTCAAAATATGCATACAACCACGTTAAAAATCACAAATTTACAACTCAAATCTAAATATAGTCACTTGAAATTGTCATCACTCTTTTGTACTAAATTTTGTCATCCATCATTAGTTATCACTCTTGTTTATTTGGTGCACTAACTCTTTCTTGCAATATAGGGCAAAATTTTTTGCTTTTGTCGTTTTCAAAGCATTAAAGCACAGAAAATATCTTTTGATCATTTGGCAGCACACACAAAGATGAAATTTGCAAGAGGGCAGTAATTGCAGGGCAAAGAGGAGCACTGAAAGCAAACAAGAGGGCAAAACCAGGTGCTGGGGATGGTATGGTGGGTTAGTTTGTAAACTTCTGTGGGCTGAGAAGATGAGAGGAAATGGGAATTTGGAAATGGTTTTGGCAAGTGGGTCTGAATTCAATTGCATTAATGAGTAGGTAAAGCTTTGTTATTTTTAACTAACACACATTTTATGCACGTCTTACTCACCCATTAGTCATTTTCTGCCATTTTTGCTGATTACCAAATAAAGGATTATTTAGTATTATATACCTTGAACGACTTCAGTGGAAGGTTCAAACTTGTGTATTATTAATTTTGATATATGAATTGACAATTTACCCTTTCTAGCTTACCGATAAACTTGTGAACAAATATTTAATGAGGCATTGTGTTTGAAAAAGAAAAAAAAAAAAGAAATTTATTTGTATTTTTGAAGTTAAGCTGCATGTTTGGTTATAATTTTATCCTTAACTTGCAGGAGTAAATTCATCAATCTATAAAGTCAAAAAAACAAAGCTATTAACTTAAATATAACATAATAAAATTGTACACATATTTGATAGTCCAAAAATATATAGTATAAAATTGTAAATATCTCAACAACAACAACAAAAAAAAAAAAAAAAGAAAGAGTTTGATAAAAATGAGATTAGTTGTAACTTTGTGTGCTTTTTCCCAATCCTTGCAAACCCCACAAAGATATGATTGAGATATTTCTATGTGCACGTTAGGAAAATGCTTGAACAAATACCTAAAATGACTTGGCTAGCTGTAGTGTAAGCAAGGGATCATAAAATGTGAAAGAAAAGACGTGGTTCTCTCTCTCTCTCTCTATCTCTCTCTCTTTCTTATTTGTGATGCATGAACCAATCAGTCTCTCTCTCTCTCTCTCTCTTATTTGTGATGCATGAACCAATCAGTGCAAAGCTGTATCACGTGATTCATACTACTAAATATCCATATATATATATATATATATATATTATTAGAGATGTAAGAGGTGCAAACACAGTTTCATATTGTTAGAAAAAAACACACTCTTAATAAGCTAAACAAAAATAACAAAAAAATAGAAAAGATAAAGATTTAAGTGGTTCAGAAAAATTTTCTACGTCCACGGAAGAGGGAGAAATATTCATTAACAGTTTTAAAATTACACATTTAATAAACTTTCTCACTTTCTCTTTCTAACCAAAATTCCTTACACCCTTGCCTATCTCTCTCCTCACTTTTCTCTCTATCTCTCTCTCAAAATGAGGCACTCTGTCTCTACACTTTTCTCTTAGCACACATATAAAGTCTTACACAAAATACTTATTTATAGTATCCTAATAACCCACAAAATAATCCTTGCCTAAAAATTGAAAACAATAACTTACCTAAAAACACAAAATAGTAACTTTTCTAAAACTAATTTGAGTCACTTACCTAATAATCTCCACATTGACTCAAATTCTCTCAACTCACTCAATTGGACATCCAATCTTCACTGCCACAAGTCTTCATCATCTCGCCTTTATTGTCTTCGACTGTTATTAACATCTTGTTGCACTCTTTTACTCCTGCAACTTCTTTCATAACAGAAGAAGACTCTTCTTCATAGCTCCACCTACAGCTGTTGTCCCAATAAGCTTATACAAGTCTTTCATTTTTTCACCCTTCATGACTACTAAACCACCTCTCTTGACTTGCATAAAACCACCATTAGCATAGTACACACAACCCAAAGTGTCTAAAGCTCCTAAAGAAATCAAACTTCTTCTTAGTTGAGGAACATACCTAACATTTGTCAATGTCCTCACAACTCATCAAAGATCTTCATCTTCACAGTACCTATTCCAACAGCTTTAGCACTAGAATCATTAGCCATTAACAAAGTACTGGCACCACAGATAATAATCAAACCACTATTTATGTGGATATATATGAAACGAGCATCCAGAATATAAGACCTAAGAGTCAGAAATATTTTCACCAGCAATAACAGAATAAACATCATCGTCACTATTATACTTGTCGCCAACAATATTTGCATAATCTGAAGTCTCTTAAGATTCTTGCTTTCTTCTTTCTTCTAGATGCTTCATCGATTCTTCACGGTTTCTCCTAATATGTACCTTCTTATGACAATAATAGCACTCAATATCCTTCTTTGGGCAGGATTGGGAACGATAATCTCTTTTATCATAAAATATCTCTCGTGACTTGCTCCTACCCCTATTCGAATCTGATTATGCCACTAAAACTTGTTCAGTATGAGATGTAACACTAGCCCTTTTCATATTTGTAGTCTCTAACAAAGCAGTCGACACATCATCTACAGTCAACGTCGTATTTTCAACTAAAAATGTAGTCACCATAGTCTCATATGATTTGGGTAGGGAGGCCAACAAAATTGAGTTATGCACTTATGTAAATTATTTATATGATTCCTAACATCAATTTCCACATCCATCTTCAATTCATACAATTGCTTCTTCAAATATAATCTATTTGTTAGGGATTTTGACATATAAACTTTTTTCAACTTTTTCAATTTTTCCATAACTCAGAAGGAGATGTTTCATTTATTACACTATATTTGAGTTCAGGGGTCAAACTTAAATGAATAATGCTTACCGCTTTCGCTTCCAATTCTTCCCAATCTTCATCTTTCATATTTTTTGGCTTCTTTCATTGCAACGCTTTCAGAAATCCCTATTGAATTAGAACATCTTTGACCGTACTCTGTCAGATGCTGAAATTATTATTTTCATCAAACCGCTCAAGCTGCTCAAATTTTATTTCGGACGTCATCTTGGCCTCCTTTTTTTTTTTTTTTAATTTTCACTATAACTTCGATACTAGATTTTGGGGAAAAAACACACATCTACACTCACGCAACAGAAAAACAAACTGAAACAAAAATAACAGAATAATAGAGAAGAAAAAGATTTAGGTAGTTTGGAAAAATTTTCTTTGTCCACAAAAGAGGGAGAAAAATTCATTAACAGTTTTAGAATTACACACTCAACAAACTTTCTTATTTTATCTCTACCCAAAATCCCTTACACCATTGCCTATCTCTCTCATCACTTTTCTCTCTCACTTTCAAAAGGAGGCACTTTGTCTATACACTTTTCTCTGAGCACACACATAAAGCCTTACACAAAATACTTATTTATAGACTTCTAATAAACCATAAAATAACCCTTGTCCATAAACTGAAAATAATAACTTACCCAAAAACACAAAATAGTAACTTTCTCAAAACCAATTTGATCACTTGCCTAACACATATTGACAACAAATAAGAGCTAAGATGGATTTATAAGGGAGTAGACCGCTCTACTCACTAGGTTAACCATTTGAGTTGGAAGTCTAATTCTTTATGGTGGAGCTAATGGTTTTAACAATTGGTATTAGAGTTGGGACCTAGATGTTGCCAAGTGCATACACGAGATGAATATTTGATGTGCCAAATGAAGGTGTGGCCCTTGGTCACGATGGTAAAAAAAAAATCCATGAAAGCTTAAGGTGGACCTTGCCTCCGCGGTAACGCGGTGGAGACCTCGAGGTTGTTGTGCAGACCATGAAACATCGAGATACGTATTGAAGAGCACAAGGGGATGGGATCTTCATGTAATGCAATGTAGGTGTGATGGATAATCCAATGGACATAATAAATTTTCGTTCAAAGGGGGGCAATGTCACTTCATTCAAAGGGGTGATTGTTAGAAATGCGAATAAAGTCCTACATTGACAACAAATGGGAGCTAAGATGAGTTTATAAGGGCTGCACTCATTAGGTTAACCTTTTAAGTTACAACCCGAATTCCTTATGGTGGAGCCAATAATTTTAACAAGATACAGTGTCGAATTTTAGCATTTGAGTAGGAAAATCATTCTTCAGTACAAATGTTATTATATGGTGCTAAATTTGTCATATGCTATACTTGATGATAAATCTAATATTGATTATAGCAAATAATGAATTTTGAAATTTGATTGTTATTGGTTGATATATTTACTTTTTCATTTAATCATTGTGATATTGGCATTTTAAAATTTTTAAAACTGAAAATTTATTTTTTACTTTTTAAAGCTTAATTATTAGGGTTTGTAGCACAATTACCCTTGAACTTGTCATAGTTTAGCAAATTACCCCCTAAATTTTTAATTTTAACAATAAACCCCCCGAACTAGTAAAATTGTTGCACAAAGTTTTTATTAAAATTAGGGGATTAAAAGTTGAAAAATTAAAAAAAATTGTATTGCATTTAAATTGGGATGTTAGAATTTTTTGTTGAACTTACTTTTTCGACACTAGTTTAATATTATCATTGTTAAAATGGGGCATATTATAACAATTTTACAAGTTAAGGGGTAACTTTCTGAAACTAAAAATTTAAGTTACAAGTTACTAAAAGCATACAAGTTCTGAAAACAAATGTATAAAATACCTTAATTATTATGATAATATATATCTACATGCATGTATATATATATATATAGCATTTGCAATACATAGAACAAATAAAAATAATATATCATTATATTGCATTTTCATACTTTTTAGTACATCCAAATGTAGTATTTACACCGGCCTTTGCACTAAGAATGGTATTAGTAAATGATGGAATAGCTCTTTTATTTTCCCCAAACTTTATTGAAAGCAAAAAGGAGCTCAATCCATGGAGCCACAGATGATCTTAGAAGATGGAATAGCTCTTTTCAGTTTTTGTTACTTCAATTTGAAACGACGACGTGATTACAGGTATAGCATAGTGATAGATCTACATATATCCTCTAATTTTAAGGTCAAGAGTTCCGAGTCTCCTACCTTCAGTTCAAAAGAAGATTACTTGAAAACGACGATGGTGTAATACAGAGCAAGGTGAAATGACAATACTTACAAACGACAAGAGAATTAGAAGATTATAAGAAATAGATTATCGAACGACAAGAACTGGTAAGGGCAAAAAAAAAAAAAAAAAAAAAAAAAAAAAAAGGGAAAGGGAAAAAAAAAAAAAAAAAAAAAAAAAAAAGAAGGTGACAACATACATTGAAAACAACACATGTTGAAACGAAACGAATCGAAAGAGAGCAAGCCTACAATGGCCATTGATGTAGGGCCCACACCTCCTCTTTTATTCTCTATTTATTTTCATGAATGTTCTACTAGTACTAGTCAATCTTTCTGATGAGAAGATGCATTTGTTTTTTCAACTTTATTATTATTTTTTCAATAATATCAACTATTCCCCCCCCCCCCCCCCAAAAAAAGTAACTTATTGGTTTTTGTTCATCCACCATTTTTATAAATGTAAAATTTCGTAACTCTCTAACAAGTTTACACTTTTATTTTAAAAAGTTAAATATTATTATGTTTAAAGAAAAAGTTTAAATATTATTTTTAAGTTGGAAAAAGAAATAATCTAAATTAAAGATACAAGTAACTAACTATTCAACTTATGATCAAAGTTGAACTTGGACATAGGGCTAGCAATCCGGGTAACGACACAACGACACGATTTGAAACCTGCATGAAGTTAATAGGTTTGAGTTTACTATAAACGGATTTAAGTCATAATCAGGTTGACACGATTAACACGATTAATAAATAGATTAAGTTAGGGTTGACCACCTAACACGAAGTGACACGAGTTGACACGATTAACTATATGTCTTATTTGCAATCTAATAATATGTGATATAACATCAAAGTTTATATGACATATTAGATAAGATTTGAAAGTGAAATACTTTATTGATCTTTCTGTTTTTCTATCACAGTTATATATACAATACACGAGAGATCAAAAAAGAGAAAAGAATAAATACATTGATTTACATGGATTTGGTTTCCAACGGTCAAGAGCAGATCATGGGTTATGAAATGAAACCCAGCTAGTTATCTCTAACGGTTATGAGGAAATTAAGGGAGAAATCGTGATTGAGGAAATCCTTGAGATATGGCAGCATATTGAACTATGTTTGATATCAAAGGCTTGATTCTCTCCTTGTAGGATTCCTAAGAATTGAACGTTGCTGAAGTTGGTATCTTTTCACCCTTTTTCAAGCTGGAGGGAATGATAGAATGTACTCCTAGCTTGTCTCTGAAATATTGAAAGGGTAGTTTAGAAAGGCATTTGGTGAATATGTATGCAATCTGATGAGTTGATGGAATGTATCTAGTTGTTAGTGCTTCTATGGCAACTTTTTCTCTTACAAAGTGGTAGTCTATCTCGATATGCTTTGTTCAAGCATGGAATACTGGATTTATTGTCATGTATAGAGCACTTTTGTTGTCACAGAAAAGTTGAGGAGATTCACTTAGTTTGATTCCCATGTCTCTAAGCAGGAAGGTGATCCAGACTAGTTCTGCAGTTGTTGATGCCATTGCTTTATATTCTACTTCCGAGCTTGATCTTGACACGGTTGGTTGTTTCTTCGATGACCAAGAGATGAAATTTGCTCCAAGATAAATGCAAAAACCTGTTGTACTTCTTCTAGTGTCAGGACACCCAGCCCAATCTGCATCACAGAACTCGTATAGCTTGAATGGACTTTGAGCAAGGAATTTGATTCCATAGTGCATTGTTCCTTTGAGATACCGGAGTATTCTTTTTACAGCTTTCATATCTCTTTCAGTTGGCTCCTTAAGCTTTTGACACACCTTGTTAACTGCTTGTACAATGTCCGATCGAGTATAGGTTAGATATTGCAGTGCACCAACTAAGCTTCTGTATTCTGTTGCGTTTACAAGTTTTGAATCTTGAGGCATTGGTTGAGGTTTTAGTGCCATCGGTGTGTTGAAATGTGAACTTTCTAAGAGTTTTGCTCTGTTGAGGAGATCCTTGGTGTACTTGCCATGTGAGAGTGTAATGCCTTCAGGAAAGTGTTGGACTTCTAGTCCAAGGAAGAAGTGTAATTTTCCTAGATCCTTTAGTGCAAATTCTATGTTGAGCCTGTTTACCAGGCTTTGTATTGATTCTTCATTGTTTCCTATAATCACAATGTCATCAACATAGATTAACATGAGTAAAATAATTTTGTTCTTTCTTAAGATAAACAAGGAAGAATCTGCCCCTCTCTGATGAGTTCTGCAGTTCAGTCTCTCCGATGGGCAGGTGCAGCTAGGGATGGCCAGCTTCTCGGATCAACAATTGGTCATCTGTTGAATCTTTTGATTCTCCACCTTCCTTGTTCCTTAGGTTCTTTCTTCGCAAGAGTCAATGCTAATAATGCAAGACTGCCTTACTACAAACAAAACCAATATGAATCAGGAACTCTGATAGTCTATCAAACCAAGCACGTGGTGCTTGTTTGAGTCCATAGAGGGACTTGTTTAGTTGGCACACGTGATCTGGTAGTTTTGGATTTTTGAATCCTGGTGGTTGTTCCATGTATACGGTTGCTTTCAAAAATCTATGAAGAAATGCATTTTTAACATCCAGTTGCCTCAGTTTCCAACTTGCTGAGACTGCAATGGCAAGAACAAATCGAATAGTAGTGGCTCTCACAACCGGGCTATAAGTTTCTTCATAGTCCACTTGAGTGTATCCTTGTGCCACTAATCAGTCCTTATATCGTTCTATCGTCCCATCTTCTTTATATTTTATTCGGAAGATCCATTTTGAGCCAACTACATTGTTGTTTGTCGGTCTGGGCACTAGTTTCCTCGTATGGTTTTCATGTAAATCAATGTATTTATTCTTTTCTCTTTTTTGATCTCTCCTGTATTGTATATATAACTGTGATAGAAAAATAAAAAGATCAATCAAGTATTTCACTTTCAAATCTTATCTTGGTATCAGAGCCTCACGAAAGATCAATCCCATGGCCACTACTGCAAAAGTTCCTAAAGACACCTCTGAACCCGAGCTCACTCTCCAAGTTCTCTATCAATGATCCAGCCTGATCTCCCTAAAGCTCGACAGTTTCAACTACCTGCTATGGCGATGTCAAATGGAACCATTAATCCAAAGCTTGGACATGGCACACCATCTGGTTGGAGGCAGTGAACCAACAAAGGAGATAGTCAAGGAAGATGACAAGGTTGAGCCAAACCCAAATCACATTCTCTGGACAAAGAATGACGGATTATTGAAAGCTTGGCTACTGAGAAACATTGAAACAGAGGTATTGATCTCCTTAGAAAATATAACATCTGCCTACAAGGTATGAAAATCGATTTAGGAACAAAATCTTCCAAATAATGTGGAAAAAGAAATTATGCTTGATGATACCTTGATGACACTGAAAAAAGGAAACCTTTCACTAGATGATTATCTTAAGAAATTCAAAAGTGTGTGTGATAGTCTTGTAGCAATCAAGAAACCTGTAAATGAAATCAAAAAGGTGTTTCAGCTGGCTAGAGGTCTTGGACCTAAATATCAAGAGTTCAAAACGGCCATGCTCACCAAATCACCCTATCCCACCTACCATCAATTTGTATTAGCATTGCAGGCACATGAAAGAATGATGAACAGTAACACAGAATAGCAAGAAGTTGTACCACGCCAAGACCAAGCCTTTGTCGGCCAAAGACAACGAGGACGGGGTCGTGGTGGAGGCAGATTCAGCTCTCGAGGCAGAGGCTTCAATCCAGTAGCAAGGTACAATTCAACTCCACATTCTTCCCTTAATTTCAGTGGCAACAAGAATGACCAAGGAGGAAAAAGCACAAACTGGAAACAAGCCACACAAGGAGAAGGCAACATAACATGCCAAATATGCGAAAAATTCAATCATACTACTCTAGAATGCTGGAACCGTTTTGATCATTCCTTTCAACCAGAAGATCATATGCCTAAGGCTCTTACTGTAATGAACCTGAAAAATGAAGAGGATTCAACCCTCTATGCATACTCGGGGGCCACAACTCACATGTTAAATGACACAGGTAAACTCTCCAAAGTTATGCATTATAAAGGTAAAGACACTATTCTTGTAGGCAATGGAGAAAGCTTAAATATTTCCCACATTGGTGAAGGAAAACTTAAAACCAAGAGTGGCACTTTAGACCTCAAAAACGTTCATGTTGTTCCAAACATTAAAAAGAACTTAATATCTGTTAGTCAACTAACACATGACAATGCTTGCACTATTGAATTTGATGCTAACATCTTTCTTGTCAAGTCTTAGGAGGGCAAAATAATTGCTAAAGGGTACAAAAGTAATGGATTATATGCACTAGATGAAATAACACATCAAGCCTTAGCTACTTTCAAGAATCCTGCTTCTCAAAATATTTGGCACAAATGAATGGGACATCCTCATTTAAAATTCCTGAAGCATTTACATTCAAAAAGTTTTATCGATGTTTCTAGTTGGGAAAAGGATAAATCTATTTGTATCAGTTGTCAAATGGGAAAAAGTTGTAAAATTCCTTTTACTTATCAAATAATATTTCAAAATTTCCTCTAGAAAAAGTACATTGTGATCTATGGGGCCCTGCTCATATCTTATCATGTCAACAATTTAAATACTATGCTATTCTTATTGATGATTGCACAAGATATTCATGGATATTATCTCTGAAAAGAAAATCTGATTTCTTTGAATGCTTCCTTAAGTTCCAAAAACAGGTTGAAAACCAATTCGAGAGGAAAATAAAAGTCTTTCAAAGTGATGGAGTAGGTGAATTCATGTCAAACAATTTTGAAAAACACTTGTCCCAGTGGGGTATCCTCCACCATTTCTCATGTCCCCACACACCCGAACAAAACAGAATGACAGAATGTAAGCATCGACATATAGTAGAAACATGCCTCACCTTGCTTTTTCAAGCCAATCTGTCAACCAAATATTGGGTGGATATGCATTTCTCACTGCATGCTTTTTAATAAATCCTATGCCATCTACATCCTTAAACATGGAAACATCATTCTTTAAACTGCTTAACCGACACCCAGACTATGGGAGTTTGAAAGTTTTTAGATGCAGGTGTTTTCCATACTTGAGGAGCTATGAGAAAAACAAGTTTGCAAAGAAGACATATCCTTGCATTTTTATTGGTTACAGTCCTGTTCACAAAGGTTATAGATGCCTTGATCCATAAACCAACAAGGTTTGGATATCAAGACATGTAGTTTTTGATGAAAATGTCTTTCCTTACGTACCCCACAAAGAAATGTCGCTGTAAGAAAATCTTGAAGTCACAACGTTCCCTGACTCAGACGCATGGAAAAAAAGAAAAGCATGACTGCATAATTCAAAAAGGGACATAGTCAAAACCAACTGAAGACACTGAGGACAAAATTCAAAAAGGGGAATCCTGCATATTTTGTAATGAAGAAAATGCAGCTGATTCCCAGAGAGATAATAAGGAAACATCACAAATAGAGGAGACAGAATCAGGAAGCAACATGGAACCTGCAGGCCCTACTAATGATGCCACATAATATGATATCGACATGGGAGTCTCATAAGTACAACATTTCACCGAAAATGAAGTCAACAATGAAGAAAATGATGTTCCAAAACAAGCAGAGACAATGACTGACAATGATCTCACAACAAGGCAGCAACCTCCTCATTTGGACAACCAATTAACTAATAACTTTAATATCCATGATGCAGGTTCAGTTTAAGGCCCAGAAGACAACCATATGATCACCAGAATGAAGCTGAGAAGGAATCCAGAATTAGATCCAAGCTTGGCAAATGAGACACAACAAATTCAAAATCGAAGGATTCAACTAAGAAGCAAACCATATCATCTCTCTCTCCTTGCAGTCAACGAAGACACAACACCAAAAAATCACAGAGAAGCTCTTACACAACCTCATTGGCATGATGCAATGAAAGAAGAAATACAAGCTCTACATGAAAATCATAAGTGAAAACTAGTGCCCAGACCGACAAAGCTCAAAATGGATCTTCCGAATAAAATATAAAGAAGATGGGACGATAGAACGATATAAGGCCCGATTAGTGGCACAGGGATACACTCAAGTGGAAGGATTAGACTATGAAGAAACTTATAGCCCGGTTGTGAGAGCCACTACTATTCGATTTGTTCTTGCCATTGCAGTCTCAGCAAGCTGGAAACTGAGGCAACTGGATATAACATGAAAGTTTATATGACATATTAAATACAAATAATGTGAATTTTAATATTTGTAGGTAAAATTCATTTATTTTTCTTAAAGAAAAAAGTTAAATTGACTAATAAACATGTTAAACCTATCTTGACTGTGTTAAATAAGTCATTATTATATTAGTTATTTATTTAATATATTAATTAAAATGGGTTATACGGGTTGATACAATTAACATGATTAATAAATGGGTCGTGTTTGGGTTGACATTTTAGACATGTTTAATAAACAAGTCGTATTTAGATTGATATTTTTTGACACGATTAATAAACAGGTTGACACGAACACAACCCACTAACACGAATTACCACCCTTACTTGGACATATAAGTTAGGGTTGTTCGTCAGTTAAAAACCGTCAGTTTTAGTCGGTTCGGCCACCGAACCAACTATGTCAGTTTTCTAAAATCGTGCACTGAAACTGAGCCGCACAAAGGAGTAGTTGGTTTGGTTAACCAAACTTCGATTTTCGGTCGGTTTTTAATTTTGGTAATCGGGAAGGTAGCCATTGGTTAACCATCAGGTTACCAATATCTTTAGTTGCATTTTTTGACCAGAAAATGTGGAAAAATGTCAAACTTACATTCTATGCAAATCTGTAATCAAATACGTGAATACAAAGCACGACATCCAAATTGATAATACCACAAACACAAAATATCTAAATCTAATTTCTAAAATCCAAAGTACAAACTAGAAAGTCAAAACAAACAATACTAATGTTCAAAGTCAACATATAAAGTCCACAACACAAGTGTAAAAAACATCTAAATTGTCATAATAAATTAAGAAGTCCAAAGCATAATTAAAAAGTTCAACTTTAAGTAGTGAAGTTCATTTCTAACTTCTCATAAACCTCCTATTCCCATTCATCCTCATCCTCATCCTCATCCAAATCCATTATATCGTCATATGTATTGCTACAATAGAAAATTGAAATGAAGTAAATGAAATTGAATAGATAATGAAAAAAAAGAAATATATATAATTATAATTATCTTACTTGGTTCTTTTAGAAGATTCCGCATCATTTACTTGAGTGCTTCCGTTCGTTGAACGTGTTAGAGTAAAAACAACATCATCATCATTTACATGGAAATTAGAAATTAATTTACATATTACAAGAAATGAAGAAAAAATATATAATTACAAGTATATGTAGTATGTACAATCATGATTAATATTACTTGAGACAACATGATAACAAGCTGTAAACGATTCAACCTTATCCATATATTGCCTAAAAACCACGGGTTCATATTTTTCAGTTAGTTGCCTTTTTACTCCTTCATTCTAATCAGGCCAAACGGTTTTTGGCGTTTCAAGTTCAATTCAATCCCATTATTATGTTTAAGATCATTGCGACCTTCTATAAAACCATTTGCAAAAATGATTAAGAAGAACATTAAGGAAATTTGTGTTAATACAAAAATTTCCGTAAAGTACACTAAATGAGGTCGCTGACCACTTGCAAAATTGTGTGCATAATTACTATTGATATGAATTTCTGATGATTAATTAACAACAAAAGCAGTTGAATATAGTAAAATCTGTCTCCTATCAGTTTCTTCAAAAGCATGTGACTAAACTCTATAGACTCAGAATTTATGTGAGGATAAACACAATACTATTTTTTAACACCCAAAATTTGCAACATAATGAGGTATTATATTACACTGTCTTTGAATTGGTACAATGAGGCCAGTCAAATAAGAAAGAACCCAAAATTGAAAAACCGGAAGAAAAAAGAAAAATCTTTCCTTTTTTTGATGCCATAGAACCCAAAAAAAAAGGGGGGGTTTACTTGGTCTCTGCAATAATTTCTGATGAAGCAGAAAAATCTTTCCGGCGAGGAGCTTTCACCGACGGAGTCC